GGGGGGGGGTGGGGGTGGGGGGGGGGTGTGGGGGGGGGGGGGGGGGGGTTGGGTGGTGGTAGTATTGCCATACAATACTACATTTCTTTATATCACTGTACTGTGGTAAGAAGTGGGGGGGGGGGCAACCAACCGTTCCATGGACATTTTCAATAGTTAAGGTAATGTTGGGGAAAAAAGTGGGGGGTGGGGGTGGGGGGCGGGTCCCCCCTGTTGCCTGCATCAATCTACACGCACAAGTGACGTGCTAACGAAATAGGCAATGTGGCGGTAATGTATACTTTCATATACGGTAATAAATATATTTTTTGCAACAGTGTTACAGTAATGACTATGTAGCGGTAATGAAAATTTTGAAATTGTAGCGGTATTGATACGCACCCAGTGAATCGCATATCACGTTTAATGACGTTTGTAACGCTTTTGACAAGAATCTTAACTACATGTATAATATGTTTCTTTGCAGACCATCCATCGTCCAATTCAAACTCGCTACCACTCAAAAATTGTATTTTCCACTTTATACAATGTGAAAGTGAATAAATATACAAAATTTAGCTCATTTTTGTAAATTTGGCATGCTAAACATAGTTTCACAATTGATAAACTAGGTTTATCGACTGTTAACTATAGTTTACAAACCGTGAACTATGGAACGCCATCACTGCCTTATAGCATACAACTATGCATTTATTATATCAATTTATCATTACGTGATGTGAACATATCTTTACGTTATGTCCATTTTTTATGAGATGATGTAAATATATCTTAACATCATGTCAATGCTGCATTACATGAAGTAAATACATTCTTTCATTATGTCAGCACTTAATTATAAATTGAAGTAAAAAATTCATTATGTGAAGTGATAATGTGTTTATATTGTGTTAAAACTTTATTACGTGAAATGAATGTTTCTTTACATCATTTCATTTCTTTAATATGTGAGGTAAAAATTGTATTACGTCAAGTACATTGTGTTTTATAATTAAACTTATTATTACATGAAGTCAAAAGCCCATTCCTTTTTGAGAGTGTATATTTCTATTATATCAAAGCATTATTATGTGATATGGATTTATCTTTATTTTACGGCGAGGGCATCATGATATGAGGTGAACACAGCTTACCTTTGTGTCAGTGATTTATTAGGTGGTGTAAAAAGTGTATAACATAATGTGAACATATCTTTATTTTATATCAACACTTTATTACAGTATGTCAAAACTCCATTCCGTGATGTGGATATATAATTAGTTACGTTATGTCAACTCTTTCTAATGTGATTTAAAAATATCTAAACTTAATGTGAAGCTAATGCAATGTCTTACAAAGTTTAAGACTTTAAAAAAAGTGTTGCACGATTTATTTAATAATCAGATTAAAGTAATCACCATTGAATTTCGACGTGACTTTAATTCACAGTCGCATTGTTAAAGATGTCATTCCCAAATCGCTGAGAATCTCTTCTATGACAGTTTTCTCTCCCGCCATTGTCAGTGCTCGCGGAACGCGGAAAATACGTTATGTTCATACATGTATAAAGGCCGAGCATACCCGTGTTCGCATAACTTAATATAGCTGCAATAATGTAGCCCTCTCCGATTTTTTTTTTTTTTTGGGAGAGGGCTACAACTCCTTAGGATCTCTATAATGGCGCAGATGCGGCAGTGGATCACTCCCGCACGGATTTCGGCTCAAATTATCAGTAAATGGCTATTTTATTATTATCTCTTACCTGGAATCCAAATATGTAATTATGCAAAACATAAATCGATCCAAAAATATTCACAACGACCCATATATCGGTTATTTTTCGTGTGTGTCAACAGCTTAACTTGAATTTATCCGCCATGTTTACTGACCTTGATGGATTGTATTTTGGGACAGTCAATGAGAATTTAGGTTCTATAGGAGCGGATCTACTAGGAATTCCCTTATTTTAAGCATATGTATCGCTGTTTGCGCAAAAATAACACTTGAAATGGTTTTATTTATCGATGTTTTTATAATATATTGTAGCACAATCGTTTATAAACATTGACATTTGCTTTATTTGGTTGTTCCAAATTTCAAGCGAAAGTCTCACTACGTCACGCGTGAACTGTCAAGCTGCTGAATATTGCAGCTGGGAAAGACACAGATTTATTTTACATGGTTTTCGAGTTTAACAGGCTATGTTGTGGACAGTGAATAAAAATTCCGTCTTATAAGAAGTAAGTTTAATGTAAAAATAATTTATTTTGCCTCCAATCACCCGTATCAAAAAAATATATTTGCACCATTACGGAGATGCGATGGAATTGTAGCCCTCTCCAGAAAATATCAGATAAAAAAAATCGGAGAGGGCTACATTATTGCAGCTAAACTTAATAGTGAATCGACATAATGTAGAAGAGTGCGCACAGTATGATATGAGCTTTTCACATCAGTTAGTAAAAACTAAGTTGTCATGAAAAGTAAACATAACGAAATGCAAGTTGACGAAATATAATTTTAGTACGTGTAAATGTCATAAAGAGTTGATATAATGTAAAGGAAAGTTAACACGATGTAATAGTAGTGGGTAAATGTCATAAAGAGTTGACATAATGTAAAGGAAAGTTAACACGATGTAATAGTAGTGGGTAAATGTCATAAAGAGTTGACATAATGTAAAGGAAAGTTAACACAATGTAATAGTAGTGGGTAAATGTCATAAAGAGTTGACATGATGTAAAGGAAAGTTAACACTATATAAATGGTGCCTGTTTTGGGGGGTAACATTTGAAATTGACACCCCAAGGAAAACCATTGTCAACCGACGCGTCAGCGGAGGTTGACAATGGTTTTCCGAGGGGTGTCAATTTCAAATGTTACCCTTCAAAACAGGCACCATTTATTTTATTATACTGAATGTCTTATTGATTAAGGACGTCAGCAAAAAAAAAAACCGTCGATCGTCTTTACGTTCATGTATAGAAAGATTTCACACTCACCGGTTCACTAATCTCCTTATTGTTTGTTTTGATACTCGAATTAGAGTCATTTATCATATAAAGCTTCGTTATTTCTGGCTCGCAAGCATGTCTCCTACACTCGCAAGCATGTATCGTCTGTCGTTTGTTGTTTTCAAGTAAGCTTTATCGGACGCAAGCTTTTATTGACGTCAAAAAGTTAATTCCGGTTCTTTCAAACGCGCAACTGACGTTTTGAGAATTCTACGGTGAACCGTACGCGCATAATTTCGACGCATGTGGCATTACCGTTGTGTTACCCGTTGTCACGTGTGTTGCTAAGGCTCAAGGTAATCGAACGGATTGTTACCTGCGTCTAAACCAATCAGATTTTAGTATTTAACATGAAAGTATAATAAAATGCAATAGTAGTGTAGGTTAATGTCATTAAGAGCTGACATAATGTAACGGAAGGTTGACACAATGCAATAGTAGTGTATGTTAATGTCATAAAGAGTTGACATAATGTAATGGAAGGTTGACACAATGCAATAGTAGTGTTCTGCTTTAAGGCAGTGACGGCGTTCCATAGTGAACAAAAGTGATATACCTCTGTTATAGCGGAATTGACGTTTTCCCCCAACCTGTTTTATACAGAAATCGAAGTTCTTTTAAAATAGCCTTAGTTATAAGTGTTTATTAGCATGATATGAAATAAGAAGTTATTTATAAGTGTTTTCTTTGATAGGAAACACTTCATATACACTATGAATTATAAAATGATAGATGTAAAAGGAGAAACTAAAGAACCGAATAAGTAAAAAAAAAAAATCATGCCATTTTCTTTAAAAGCCGGGATACCTATGATTTTTCCTCCTAAAATGTATTTGTTGATCATTTTCATTTAGAAAATATGCATTATGTATAGTTTTATTCGCATTTTCTGAAAATTTATTTTAGATTTTCCCTGTATAACATGATTTACTTTAAAGATGAATTTAAAGATGAATTTATAAGAAACACTTTGGGTATATACACATTACTTTTAGAATTTAGAAACATCTTTGCGAGCATTTTAAATTACTCCGCAATGCTTGATTTTCAGAACCTGAGGATTGGACTACCTTAATTTCGAACACTCTAATTGTTAATTTTGTGGCGGTCAGCCGGGTTCGAAAGTTGGTAGAGCACCTGACTTTCAGGGGGCCCGGGTTCGAATCCCGGTCTGGTCCGCTGCATTTTCTCCTCTCCCGTTACATTTGGTGCCGTGCCATGCCCTGGAACTGACAGGTGAAAGACATGCCAAGGATGAGCCTGGGTTGGGGTCTTTGCCACTCTTTGGAGGGCCAAAGACCTTTAAGGAGGGAGGAATGTGGCAGTCAGCCGGGTTCGATCGCCGGTGTCCAGATAGCTCAGTTGGTAGAGCACCTGACCGGAGTTTCAATTGTTATTTTCTCCTCTCCCGTTACAATTTATTGAACACCTACAGGTAAACCGATCTCGATATGCATTGGTGACTTTACCGGCCACTGTCCAGTAAGTTAGGCCAAAGAAAATTGTAATCTTTAAAAAAAAATATTCATCATTAACTCTAGATGAGGATGTACTTTTTAATTAAACGACTTAAATTCAGTTATTTTTGATATTGTAAATTTAAATGCAAGCTAAAGCTAACACTTTTCTACCGTGAAATCCGGAAATATATTCTTGTATTTTGGAGTTTGCAATAAACAGTTTTCTTGAATGAACAAAACAAAAGGATTTGAAAGCTGTTACTCCAACCACTCTTGAAACTTGATTTTTTACCCAGAGTAATATTGGCAGATTATTTTTCTCAGTCTTATTTGCAACCAACAGTTTCTCGATTGTGCGCATGTGTTGTAGGATTGTACTCCCCTCTAATTTGTCACATGTGTGTCTTCGTATTTATAATGGTCATTTCTTTTCTTCTTCTTCTTTTTTTTCTCTTAGGTACCTATTCAATCTCTTTTGGGCTCTCTTGGGGTATTTTGGGGTCCTTTCCGGAAAATCGAGACGCTGACGCTTTAAATTTTGAAAACGAGGCTGTCGAGAGCTGACAACAACTTCCTGTTTTACTTGTCGAGAAACCGGGTCGAAAGAAAGGGACGTCTAAAAATCTGGTGCAATCACAACATCTTTGATCATGAAGCCTCTTTTGCATTTTGCATTTTGGCTTTGCATTATTTTTTGTATCGAATGCAGTGCGAGACAAGATACCATTGACAATGCTGTAATAAACAGTAAAGTGGAAAGGAAAATTGACTTGTCAACCCACCTCGTTAAAATGACAACAACAGTTACGTTAGAAAATGCTGGAAGAACACCAATAAAATCCTTCTTATACGCACTCGAGCCATCGCTTCAAAACTACCTTTCATACCTGAGTGCAAACGTAAGTACAACACTCAACAGTGCAATAACTTGCTCTCATTTAGCATTGATTTAATATTGTCTGTATGCACTTGTCAACTTCCTGTCAATGTACCATTGACTTTATGTTTAGCAAATTGTTTTATGCATTATTTATCACTTCCTCTAAAGTCTGTATGTACGATACTTGGAAGTCTTCAGGTTCCTGGTACTGCATTTCCCTTAGATAGGATGTTCTATCGTTAAAATGATAAATGTCCTACGGACCCGGTTTAACGATAGAATGCGTTCCGTGTATTCACAAAGTAAACAGGGCGATAAATCGTACTAGTGCATTTACTATGAACAATCAAGAGAGTTCCGAACGTAAACATGGCGTGTAAATTTGAAGCGAGAAAAATCGTTGGTTTAAACTTAAGGTTTAAGTACTTACACAGTCCCAAAAAGGTTTGTTATGATTAATTTGGAAGTTATTTTCAGTGCAAATCCCTTTGTATTCTTCAAAATTGTTTCGGAGCGATTCTGCAATTTTTTGCTACATTGCGAGTATATGGGTGGTATTCTAACTGTTGTGAGGGCTTGTCCCGAGACACAGTTAGATTATTCTAACTACATTTCCCCATTCTGTATTTTTATTTCATGTATATAGGTCATGATGATCTGGATTTTTTTATTAGGTTAAAGACAAAGATGAAAAATTGGGAATTTCAAAAGCCACTGTTTCATCTAAAAAGTAAGTCTACTGTGCTTTGGAATCCTAGCTAACAAGACTGAGCGGATATCTCTAAATCATTACACCCTTCATTCCTTAATTCATTTCAATAATTTGCCCTCATCCAAACTTGGGTTCCTTGCATCAATAGTCAGGTACCAACTATGCAACCCAGATTTATTAATAGTTGTTTTTATTTTTCTAAAGTTCCCCTCCTAAAGAAAGAGAACAATCATTGCATATATTATAAATTAACTTGCTACTCGTATTTCTCTGTGCAGTAAAACTAATTTAATTAACAGATAATCCAATATATAAGGATTTTGGTGTTCATGTATATGTGAGGATTTTAATGTTCAGATATAATGATTATCTCAGAAATGGTGCAAATTTTCCCAAATTTAATGGCCCGACCCCAATCCCAAAATGTTGTGTGAGAGCTGTGAGCTTAGAGTATCAGATGTTTTTGGTCTAACCATTGTATCTATTCCACAGAGATGTCAGCTTTTGGCGTATTGACCTTCCCTCCAGTCTGGAGGCGGGGAAGATGATGACAGTTGATGTGGACTCGATGTATGCTCATGCATTGACACCATACCCTGCAGAAATCACACAGAGTCAGAAACAACAAGTTTTGTATAATGGCAATGTATACTTTTATTCTCCATATGTCACTAAATCTCAGACAACAACAGTAACTACCACAAACACTGCCATAGAGTCCTACAGCAAATCTCCAAAACCAGTCTCCCAGAGTGACAGAACAATTACATACGGACCATATGAACAAAGGGAAGCATTTGCTGAGGTAAAATATAGACCTCCACTTATTTAAATATTTACAGAAAGTGAGAAAAAATGAGTAACTGACAGTGTTTTCCCTAAGAACCGGCTACTGGCCAAATTGACTGCTTCAATTGACAAAAATGCTGCTTTGAAATAAAAATTTGTTTCAAGGGCCACCAGAGTTCCCGAAACGCACCGGTCCACCGGGGATCCCCGGTAAATTTTGAATGGGACCGGTAAAATTTAAATTTTATCGGTCAAAATGTCCGACGGTTTTTTTTACAGACTGTATAACAATGACACATAATTTTAACAAAATCATTTAATTCAAGATTCAATCAGCGTGCAAAGCCAAAGAAATTTCAAAAAAAAAAACGTCAGTGGTGCGCCAGATTATTCTCGTGCATTCTTGTTTAAATGTAGACGGTGTATGTCTACTATAAAAGGCTACATAATAAAATAATATTCTCCATAAGTCTGGAAAAAAAACCTGTCAAACAAATATTTTTCCTTCTTAAGTTCTGACAGTAAAAAATGTGGCAATTTACTTTCGTTTTGCAGGACGAACTTTGCAGGGTTAACATGGTTAAGATCAAGCCAAGTTGCCAGCTATTTCTGCTTGATTATAGACAATTTCTTACCATTTTTATTTTCTCTGTAAATTAATTCATTAGAATTGTAAATGTAAAACTAATTTTTGGATTTTTTTCCCCATGCATTTGTTAGCATTTTATACAAGCGCGTTTTTCCCCGTTTCTAAAAAAAGCGGACTAGCTGACTTCATGTAATAAAACGACAAAAATGTCACTTAAAATCATCATTTTCATGATTAATTTGCATATTTTTATATTATTAGTACATATTTCTGTATAATACATTCTTAAGTAAAACAATCAAACAAAAGACGTCATGTTGCAGATTTTATTTTAAAAATAAAATATGTCAGAAAGGACATAATTTTTATACGATGAAGCCCTGGTCATCATACACCGTCAGCGACGTCTAACCCCAGATACATAGGCCTAATAGAAAATATTTTAATGAATTAATAAAAAAAAAAAACGTATTTGCTAACTTTTCATTTAGATGTCCTAAGGTCTTCCTGATCATGGACAACAGTGGCAAACTGGTAAGACAAACTGAATGGGAAATAGAGAGAGAGAAAAGGAATAAATTAAAGAATTTTTTTTAACTGTTTGCATTCCTTTTAAGTGGATTTTATTTTATCTTAAAAATTAATGTCCGGTAAATTTTACATTTGTCCGGTGAATTTTAAAAATTTACAGGACAATTGTCCGACAGATTTTTGACTAGTTTCGGGAACTCTGGGCCACTGAGATTCTCTTCATAAACCTCAGCCTCTAGCCTGTTACAACTGATCTCTAACCCTTTACTTTGAAATAAATGGAAAACACTGAACTGAACTTCAAAGCATTCATCTATCTTTCAGGCTGAATTGAGAGTACACTATGAAAACAATTCTCCTTTCCTGACTGTCACCAGTTTGGAAAGGATCATAGAAATTTCACACTGGGGAAACATAGCTGTTGAGGAACACATTAATCTGAGACACACAGGAGCTCTGCTGAAGGGACCGTTCTCCAGATATGACTATCAAAGATCTCAAGATGGACTGTCATCAATCAAATCATTTAAGGTAGCTTAATTTTTAGGCAGGATTTGGATATGCCGATAATGATCTGTATTACATGAATATGTAACTGTCTGCTTTGATTTGAAATAGTGTTCCACCCACTATTTTCAGTCTTTTTATGCCTGGTTTTAAATTCCAGACAAACTTCAAGAAAATTCAAGAAAAGAGAAATATAAGCAGGAAAAAATTATCTTGTTTCCTACATTACCTATGTTTCAATGTCGGATGTAATTGTTTTAATGATGAGGTATTTTGCCAGACATGATGTTTGGCTAGTACTGCCCTCTTGTTTTGAAAATGACAGTTATGAAGATGAATCACACTGTACTTAATGGTTTTAGATTATATCCTGATGTACATGTATTCTTATGGCATATAAGAACACTTGTATTATTACAGACAGTTCTTCCTGCCTCTGCCCGAGATGTTTACTACAGAGATGAGATAGGTAATATATCTACAAGTAACCTAAAGGAGGGGGAGGAATTCATGGAACTGGAGCTCAGACCAAGGTTTCCTCTGTTTGGAGGCTGGAAGACTCAGTATTACATTGGATACAATGTCCCCAGCTATCAGTATCTCTTTAACAAAGGTAATGAAATGAGTTAAAGTGTCATACATTATTTTAATACATTCTTTCATGTATTGAAACTTGCAATATAAAAATGTTACAGTGAAAAATGTGGATTTGATGGAGGAACAAATTACCGAGACTCAGCAAGGGATCCAAACTTTTTTAAACTACTAATAAACTAAAATTTTTACAAGCATTTTCCCACTTTCTGTGTTTCTCCATCATCTCTTTGATAATAACAGCTCTCAGTTTTGGTTTTTTACTAGCATTTAAAATAAAGTATTCTTTACAATAATTTTTTTTTCTTACTTTAATATTATAATGTACCATTAACAAAGTTGAAAATCTATTTCATAGCATTCACATATACTTTTTCTTTGATTTGATAAACTTGTAGCATTGAAGTTGCATGACTTCTGTACACATAATAATTCCCCCACCTTTAGCCCCTGTATCAGTTATTACAGTTTGTCACATATAGAGGGAATCCTGGGTTAGTAGTAAATGACTCTGAATATTGAAAGGTTAAAATTTTGTGGCAGGCAAGGGAAGCATGTACTATTCATCTACACGTTTTAAATGGTGCATAAAAAGGTATTTGATTAAAGTTCTAGGTAATAGAGAAAGCGTATTGACAGTGATACATACATGTTTATGAAAATATTGTTTTGGTGACAATGTTGAAAATATTGATGGTAATCAGGGATTTATCAAGGCTCTTTTTACCGGTAAACGGTACCTTTCCCCTCTTGAAAAAGTTAAAAAATTCCCCTTTTTCAGATAGAAAATTTTGCGATTAAACGGAGAACATTTAAAACATCGTACTGAAATTTTCCATTTTTGTCTGATTGAAGTTTAACAGCATATCCTAATTCACAATCCTAGTCATTCAAACGCTTTTAACAGAGAGAGAGTAGATTATTCAAGCTTCTAGTTGATATTGATCGGTAAACATGTGCCATGTCCATGATGTCAAAATATACGTATGCGATTGCAGAGTTAAGAAAAGTGTAGATGAGTAAGATGGAGCTTAAATCACTATGAATCGGAAGAATTGATTAACAACAAAAACAATGTTAGTAGTGAAACATGAAAAACAGAATTGATTTGTGATAGATATTGAGAGAAAAAATTAAATAAAGTACTGACCTGGTTTAAATTTTTTTTTTTTTGTTATTTAATATTCTGTCTCAAAAGTGATGTTTTTTGGCCTTTGTAAAGGTCTACAAATGACCCTCAGAAGCTCTAAGAATGCAGGATTTTGCTCCATTTATTAAAAAAATTTCCGGGGGGGCATGCCCCCGGACCCCCCTAGAAGACTCGCGCCTCTGGCGCTCAGATCGAGCCTGCGGCTCTCATTTTTCCCTTTTACATATAAAGCGGTAGTAAAACAAAATAGCTAGATAAATCCCTGGTAATGCAATGCATCTAAATTTAAATTAAGATTTGGTCATGTATGTCTGTAGGAGATAACTACGCCTTGAAAATGAGATTCGTGGATCATGTTTTTGATGACATGGTGGTAGACCAGATGACACTCAAAATCATCCTTCCAGAGGGCTCCAAGTAAGTACTTTTTCAAAAGATGGCCTTGAGAATTTATTTTTTATAATGTTCATTCAGGGGTGAAAGGAAGAAATAATTTTTTTTCTACATGAAAAAAAGAAGAATCTAGAGAGAAGATGATTGAATTCTGGAAAACTTCATTGTAATTTTAATTTTTTGGACAGAAATATGAGATTTGAAGCCCCGTATGATGTACAGCAAGGAGAAAATCAGCTTCACTTTACTTACCTAGACACCACTGGTCGTCCTGTCATAGTCATCCACAAGTCTAATCTTGTTGAACAACACATACAGGATTTCCAGGTTTGTATAAAGGAAGATTGCACCAACATGGAAATGTTTGTAAAACCTCTTTATTTTAGTTTAGAAGTCTAACGTCTCTGCTTTATATGACTATCCTAAGTTATGGATCTTGACTGTTTGTTATACACCTGTCTTAAGAACCCTCTCTACACCGCATACTAAAGAGTTCTGATTCTTTGGTAATTTCTGCAGTTAGAGTGATCTGTCCTTAGATCTAGATTTTAATGGAATGAAATTCACAATATATTACTCAATTTGTAACCAATTCAAGAATTCCTAACATTTTAAAAGGCCAAGATAAATTAATTGAACATGTTATTTACATGTAATTTCTCCATGGAAGTAAATAACGGTGATTTCTGTTCAATGACAGTGTTGTGTTTCAACATTTTTCCTGGGGGTAAATGCCATGTACCATATCTTTGAAAATTAAACAGATAAGCTCAATTTTTACAACTTTATTCACTACAATTTTAAAGGTCTTAAAAGAAGACATATTATGGTATGGTGTTCATGTCTGTCTGTTGTCTGTCTGCTTACTTTTTGGTGTCCGGCTCATAACAAATACTTCTAGGCCTAGTCAATCTTTCTGAACCGAAGCTTCTTGGATAGAAAGTGTGTAGCTCATTTAAATAGATCACTGAATCCTTGAATTAAGATTGTCAAATACACTAAAATACTGGCTGGCCCATCATGGGAAAATTTTGAGCTTTTGGAATCATCAGACTTGTTTAATTACTGCAACTATGTTTATAAGTTATTTGATTCCTACATTCACATAAGACTATTGCAGAGACCCTAGGAAAAAAGTTAAATCAAAGAATATACATTTGTGATCAAAATTTCTCCATCAGTGTCGGTGACATTGTCATTGTTGTTTACTCTTAAGGAATAACTGTCTAATTTTTGATTTCATGATGTGATCAATCGATTGGCTTGTTTGATAATTTGCATAAACGCCAAATTGAAAAATAAGATAGTTATTCCTTATATTTACGTGGTATTGATTCCGCCAATCCATGTGCTAGAAGCTCCGCTTCTTGTCTCTATTTGTCCTGCCCTGCATATGATTTTTTTTTCACCTCGTCTATTGATGAACCAGTACATTGATGGAGAAGTAAACTACTTTAATAACTATTTGTAATTTTATCTCGAACAAAGACATTGGAAATGTAAATATTTCACAATATTGTCTTCTCTAGAAACACTGAACCAATATCAATTGAACTTGGCATGTAGTACGATTTTGTGAAGGGAATTCAAGCATATCAGGTTTCCAAAATTCAAGTTTGTTTTTAATGTGACCGAGTGATATATAGATGGATACATAGTTGATGGTTTCTATATTTATTCACATATCAACAATAAATGTGATTCTACAAAAAAAAAATACAAGTACGTGTAAATATATACACTAGACATAGTAATGCATTACATATGACAAATAAATATTAAACTTTATTACTAATATATCTTAGTAAATAAATGACTAAGATTATCAGTAATAAAAGTTTAATATGTTTTTATCTGTCAAATATAATTCATTACTATGTATAAATTGTATATATTTACATGTACGTGTATTTTTTTTTTAGAATCACATTAATTGGTGATATGTGAATAAATATAGAATCCACCACCTACGTATCCATCTATATATCACTTGGTCACACTAAACTTTTCAATACTGAACTGATATCTGCTTATTCTAAACCAATGTCCTCAGGTGAGGGATGTGGCCAATGAGCCTCTTGATCCTAGCGGGAACATTGTGAATTATGTTGTGAAAAATTGACATTTTTTTTGTAGCTCCATTACACTTTCCAGAAGATGTTGTTACTTCAGGAGCCATTGTTGGTGGTGGGAGCCTTCTATCTCCTCTTCCTGGCTGTCATTGTGTATGTCAGACTGGACTTCTCCATCACCAAGGTATTATATATTATTCTACTACGATTATTGCCGAGATCAAGGAAATGCTGTGGACATTATTCTCCAATAAATCACGAACGTCATCAAAAAACATATCAAACCTGTACAATTGAAATGCATATTTGACTGTAGAATGAAATACTTTTATCTTTCAAACATTTCTCGACCTAGAAGGTTATCTAACAACAATTACGAAAACGCTGACTTCATTTCTTAAACAGTATACAGTTGCTGACTGGCTAGAGGTCTGTTGGACCGGAGTGCAGTAGGCCGCGGACAACAGTTTGCACTCCGGTCCAACAGGTGGACTGTTTCCTAAGACGCCTGTCAACAACTGTTTTGTTATACTCCTGTACCGAATGTAAAGATAACTCAGAGCACCGTATGATGTCAGCGGGCAACAGTCTTTTTAGCTCACCTCAACAAAGTTGGGGGAGCTTATGTAATACCCTCGGCGTCGGTGTCGGCGTCCATGTCGGCATCGGCGTCCCAGGTTAAGGTTAAGTTTTTTGGAGCAGTTTTCTTTTTAAGTACTTCTATGTCCTATATTGATTAGACATGCATGGAAGATGGTTCTAGTGTGTTTCATTGTATCAGTCAAAGTTTCAGATGCTGCAATTTCAGCAAAGGAATGACCAGGTTAATGTTTTTGGAGCAGGTTAACATTTTTGGTGCAGTTTTTGGTGTAGGTTTCATTTCCAAGTAACTATAATCCCTATGTTGACCAAACTTGCATGGATGATACATCTAAGGATGGATACTACTGGGCTTGCTTCGGATGCTGAATCTGACCTACATTTTCCGGTTGATTGAACAGGTTAAAGTTTTTGGTGTAGGTTTCATTTCCAAGTAACTATAATCGCTATGTTGACCAAACTTGCATGGATGATACATCTAATGATGCATACTACCGGGCTTGCTTCGGATGCTGAATTTGACCTACATTTTCCGGTTGAGTGAACAGGTTAAAGTTATTGGTGCATGTTTCATTTCCAAGTAACTATTAGCCCTATGTTGACCAAACTTGCATGGATGATACATCTAAGGATGGATACTACCGGGCTTGCTTCGGATGCTGAATCTGACCTACATTTTCCGGTTGAGTGAACAGGTTAAAGTTTTTGGTGCAGGTTTCATTTCTAAGTAACTATAAGCCCTATGTTGACCAAACTTGCATGGATGATACATCTAAGGATGCATACTACCGGGCTTGCTTCAAATGCTGAATCTGACCTACATTATCCGGTTGAGTGAACAGATTAAAGTTTTTGGTGCAGGTTTCAATTCCAAGTAACTATGAGCCCTATGTTGACCAAACTTGCATGGATGATACATCTAAGGATGCTCACTACCGGGCTTGCTTCGGATGCTGAATCTGACCTACATTTTCTGGTTGAGTGAACAGGTTAAAATATTTGGTGCATGTTTCATTTCCAAGTAACTATAATCCCTATGTTGACCAAACTTGCATGGATGATACATCTAAGGATGCATACTACCGGACTTGCTTCAAATGCTGAATCTGACCTACATTTTTCGGTTGAGTGAACAGATTAAAGTTTTTGGTGCAGGTTTCATTTCCAAGTAACTATAAGCCCTATGTTGACCAAACTTGCATGGATGATACATCTAAGGATGCACACTACCGGGCTTGCTTCGGATGCTGAATCTGACCTACATTTTCTGGTTGAGTGAACAGGTTAAAGTTTTCATCAAAAGATGAAAATTCTCAAATTTGCTTCAGATGCTGGATTTTGATTACATTTTCATGAAGAAGAACTAGTTTAAATTTTTTATGTAGGTCTATTTCAAAGTATCAGATCAAAATTGCTTAAATATTTTCATTTTTGGAATGTACACTTTTTGTTGGTTAATTGTGTGAATTTGCCTTATTTAAAGATAACATTCGTTGAGGTGAGCTCTGTAATCTCTGATTACCTATGTTTTAACAGTTCCCGGACTGACAGTCAAGGAAAACGGTCAAACTGTTGGACTGTTGCCGAGATCAAGGAAATGCCGTGGGCATTATTCTCCAATAAATCACGAACGTCATAAAAAAAAAAACACGTATCAAACCTGTACAATTGAAATGCATATTTGACTCTAGAATGAAATACATGTTCAGACCACATCGAGACTGTGCCTCAGTCTCGAAATGTTGCTCAGAATATAAAAACTTCGGCTAACTCCTCGGCGTTTATCTTTCAAACAACATTTCTCGACCTAGAAGGTTATCTAACAACAATTACGAAAACGCTGACTTCATTTCTTAAACAGTATACAGTTGCTGACTGGCTAGAGGTCTGTTGGACCGAAGTGCAAGCTGTTGTCCAAGGCTGTAGGCCGCGGACAACAGTTTGCACTCCGGTCCAACAGGTGGACTGTTTCCTAAGACGCCTGTCAACAACTGTTTTGTTATACTCCTGTACCGAATGTAAAGATAACTCAGAGCACCGTATGATGTCAGCGGGCAACAGTCTTTTTTAACAGTTCCCGGACTGACAGTCAAGGAAAACGGTCAAACTGTTGGACTTTTTAAAGTAAGAAATTATATAGGGACTGTTTGGTTTGGGTATAACAATTGCATACTGCACATGTGTAGCTGTTGATGATGAATTTTATGCGACGGGCGAACTGAATTATTTTGTTGAGTGTCGCATTGCATTCTGAAGACTTGTGTACTTTATGGAAGTTTTGATGATGAGGCTAAATTATGCTCATTACTGCCCCCTCCCTTCTCAGCTAATGTTTTATGTTGGTTGGTAAAAATAAATGCAAGTTATTAACATTCAATATAACTGGATATGTCAAAGTATGGGAAAGCTCCCAGATATTCAAAGAAATTTGGTCCATTTTTAGGATGAAGTCAAAGAGAGTAAAATGCGAGTTGCCAGCCTAGTGGAGGAGGTCCAAAGTGCACACGATCGTAGAAGCGCCCTCTACCAGAGCTATGATGATGCCATCAACAAGTACAAGAGTACCAAAGATCCAAATACCTTTGCAGCAACTCGGAAGAAAGTAGATGCAGACTATAAATCCCTAACACAACAGATAAGTGACTTGCAGGCCAAGTTAAAGAATGAGGGATCGGATCTAGCAGAAAAGGTAAACTTGATTTTCTGAAAGATCTCTTCTTTTTGTTAGGTAATCCTTTGGACTTCAAATTTTTTTTCTTCATAACCATATATCTTTATCTCATAAAAAGTTTTGATATAAGGTATGGGGAAACTGAAAATTAATAATTACTTCCCTACGTTATTTCCTTCTATCCAGGTTCCTTGTTAACTGTATTTTTCTCTTCTTATCTTTGAAGGTTGGTGAACTTCAGAGCAGTGATAGACAGTACAAGGAACTACTTGGCGTAGCAATAACTCTAGCGGAGAAGTTAGTCAATGGAAAAATGAATAAACAACAGTATCTAGAAAATGAGAAAATCAATACAGCAAAGCGAGAGGAGCTGGATAGCAGAATGGAAGCTTTAAGATCTAGCCTTGCCTGAGAGTTTTACTTTATAAAAACATATAAAGTTGTCATCAAATTGAATGCCAATAAAGTTTCATCTTACATTTTTGTTTTGTGTTATAGAATTTTCCAAGTTTGTAAACAACCATGTTCAAATGAGCTTTTATGAAGAAAGAGACTAGTTCATGTTTTCCATTAAAGGTATTTGGACACAGATTTGAACTTAATATTTTCTGTATAATATCATGAATTATATATTTTAATAGCATTTCACACAAAAATTTATTAAAAATCTTATTTCATATAAAAGTTGTTAAAACTTCAAATTTTTTGGCGGGTCTGATTGACACATCCTTGCACTTTCACAAATTTAAACTCTTTTCTTAATCATTAGGAAAAGTGGCAATCTTGTTGTGTATTAATGAGAAATATTAAAACTTTAATTCAGAAAATTAATTTTATTCATAGTAGAAATGTTAGAAAGCAAAACTCCTTCACAAGTATCGTCATTCCGAGCCAAGTGTTGTGTAGAGAGTTCAGCAAATCGAACACACTCATGTTATGTACACAGTTTTTGTAAACAGGGCACGAGCTCTGTTATTGTTGATGTTTACAATTCACCGGATGCGTTCAATCGTCAAAGTCTGCTCATCACAACTGCACGGACTGACAATATATTGTGTGTTTGTTTTGCTTTCGAACATGTCTACTCTAAAGTTTCTGGATTATAGTATTAATAATTTTCAGTTATACACAACAAGATTGCCAGCTTTCCCAAGTATGAAGAATAAAATTAAAATATGTTACAATGCAAGGATGTGTGATCATGTGTCAATCAAACCTGCCAAAAAAAATTGAAGTTTTGATAACTTTTAAATGAAATAAAATTTTTGATTAATTTTTGTGTGAAATGCTATTAGAATATATAAGTCATAATATTGTAGAGAAAATATAAACTTCAAATCTGTGTCCAAGTACCTTTAATTTGTTTTTACATTGAACCAATTTCAACCAAACTTGCTATGAAATATCCTTTTGTGATGATTCAAGTTCAGTGGATATCCAGGGAGATGCTAGTTTTCAAGAATGCCCTCGTAAAATTTGAAATTTTCATTTTTTTGCTATGAGGAACCATTTAGATAATTTTTTTAAAGAATCATAATTTTGCAAAACACTACCAAAATTTATTTCCATGAGATCAATACATATTCAATGGTAATTTTCAAAATATAATTTAAATTTGAGTAGAGTCATAAGACAGAATTGGGCATCACCCTGGGGCAAAGGACATGGTATCAAAATTACTTGAAAGTTGATTTTAAATTACATTTTATTAAAACGTTGATATTTTGCTTTCTGTCAGAACAAAGATCATCCAATCATATCTTGTCAGTTGATGCATCTTGGGACGTCCTTTCACTTTGACTCTAAAGTAGGTCACAGTGACCTATCTTTTGAATTTTGCGGGCGTTTGCTTTCAAATTTATTTGGAGGCATATTTTGGACACATTAAGGCTTATGGTCAAATCTGCATCTTCGACAACTTAACAGTAGGTCATCTTGACCTACATTTTTCGAATGTTATGGCAATTATCTTTTTCAAAACATTAATAAGGCGATTATTTCAGATACTGGGAGGTTTAGAATCATCAAATCCTGTAAGTTGGTGCATCTTGAGGCCTTAAAACATACTTATCAAGAAGAAGGTCACAGTGACCTATTTTTTTTTTAATTTTGCAAGCATCCTTTTTAAATTAGGTAGCATATTCAAGACATTTTTAAGATCATGTACATGTATGATCGTCAAACTTCGTCAGCTGATGCATCTTGAGACCTCGAAGAACGTCAACCAGAAAATATGTCACCCTGAGCTTCAGAAATTTTATAGCTATATTGAAAAATTTCAGGTGCTTGTAGGTTATTATCAAACTTTTGTCAGTTCATGCATCTTAGATCCTTTGAGTACGTCGAATCTGTAAAATGGCGAAAAATGACAAAAAAGTCGAACCTATTACAATGTATTACGAGTAGTAAGATAGAGGTCCATGATCTGAAGGTAAGTACGTCGTCTATTTAAATCTCGGCTGCGACTGACTTAAGTCGATAAATAAGAGGAAGCAAATGTTTCTTTGCCAGGCGCTCAGCACTTAAATTTGAAGTGAAAGTTACAGATCCTTCGGATGCATGCGGTAGGCGGTTGGCCCGATAAAGAATCCTCGATCATTGATAAATGACCCTAAGTGCCAAGTAAAGGCTCTTCCCCGGTATATACATGTGTATGGTGAGTCTCTGAGTGAATTTTCTTTTCATTTTCATCTCGACCTTGTGGTCTAACTTGTCTTTGAGGAATTTCACCATCGCCAAAAGCTGCCATATGCATACAGGGACATATGTGTTTCATAAAGGTCCTTACGAGTTACGCAACATAAATTCAGTTGGGGGCACAGCCATACATATTCAATGGGGGCACTATCAACTCAAAAATTCCTTTACAAGAAAAAATATATAACACTTGTGCCCTCATATAGCAGCTTATGACGAGGGTTGAATTTTCTTAAAATGCATGTCAACTCCAAATGTAAGGTCAACATTGTTGTTACCCAAAGGAAGGTCTTGTCACAAGGAATACACCTGTGAAATATGAAATCTCTGGTTCGAACTGTTCAAAAGTTATGTCCATGGTTAAAGTTTTTAAAAAGGGGGTCAAACTCTAAGGTCAAGGTCAAAACTATTTATTCCCACTGAAAGGTCTTGTCACAATGAATACACATGCATGTGAAGTAGGAATTTAAAGCCCTAGTACCAACTGTTCAAAAGTTATGACCAAGATTAAACTGATACTGGTATATTTTTTGTAAAAGTAGTTCAAGGTCAAGAGGTCAAATTTGGTGTTAACCCAAGAAAGGTTGTGTCACAAGGAATACACCCGTGAAATATGAAAACCATAGCCCCACCCACTCAAAAGGCACGGGGGATAACCCCCCAATAATTTTGCCGATATATATTCTAGTAGTGAGATGGTGAGAACCTAGTAAGTTGTTAGAACTTGTGTTCAAGCCATTTGTATAGTATTTATACAATAAAATATGTTCAAACCACTAGTAGTATACAATAGAAAACATGCAGTAATACTAGAAAACATGCAGTATTACTACAGAAAACATTGCTACTATACACTTGTGCCCACTCAATCAAAATGTCTTCTGACCTTTTTCTGCTCGTCAAGGAACATGAGGAATTTTGGGTAGTTGATGGTGCATATCCTACTGAAAATATAATGGCCACCCCCCCCCCCCCCCACAACTGAAATCAGTAAATTAGGCACAAGTAGACCGAAAGTATTTATAGTTTACGATGGATTTCTCGGCTTCCTACGTGCCTGAAGCAGACAGACAGAAGGACGGGCGGACAAGGCAATAACAATATACCTCTGATTGAATCAAATTCTTCGATTACAGGGGTAAAAAAAGGGGGGTCAGACGCTATTATTGAGGGGGCAAAAGCATATATAGTAACTTTTTAAAATAATATTCTATATATCGGAAAATTATTCCTACGACCATGCACAAAACACATCTTGTTTTCATTGGGGTAAAAACTAGGTGGAAAATGTTAAATGGATGGAGTCGCAAGTGAGCGTTGTGGCCTTTGGGACTCTATTTGAGCTGATTATTGAATGGTACTGGGGGGTGGAGATCTAGCCTTTTAATCCTCGAGTATTCACTGGCTAAATTAATTTTCAAATTATTTCACCCGAATTTATGAAATGCTTTAAACCTTTTTAAAAGATTGTACAACTGGCTTGCCTGTCTGATATATCTAAATTATTTCCCCTTTGTAATTGAAACACGTCGCTTCCGCGAGGGCGGCGCTGTTCATTGATGGCTGTTGTGTTTATATACGGGCACATGTAGACCGAAAGTACTTATAGTTTACGATGGATTTCTCGGCTCTCATAGCCGAACTGCGAAATATTGCAAGCAGTTATAACGGCCGAGACATCGACTCAAATGTTTCAACTGCCATGTACTGCGAAATGTTTCGCAAGGTTTGTAAATTTTGCCCTTGATATGCAGTGGGGGTACCTGGCTGTGGAAAACGTCCACCATTGCTAGCGTTATGATCGACATAGTCGACACGGGGAATGTCACGTATCAGATTGCCACTCGATTGATTGTGTACTTGCACTTGAATATCATCTTAATTTAGACTGATTTATCTTCGTGTATAGCTAATTAAAAGGACACATATAATCATGAACAATATTTTGGCTCTGAGACCAACCCCTTCCCATGGATATTCCTTGCATTTACGCATATACATCGTTGTGAAGTGTACATATCAATTGTATTTGTTGTGCAATGCAATAAACACAGTTAAATATATATTTTTTGAAATCATATCAGTTTTTTCTGGGTTATTATCTGAAATATTAATTATTTTTGAATGCAGAGGATACCTCCTACTCTGTTATGTTCCTTTATTAATGAATGCAGAATACAGAAAATATGCCTTTGTTCTGTTAGGAATTGAAACAGACTATTTTTCATGCAGTTTACGAGAATGACTTGTATTATGCACGATCTGATATCCTTTTATACACATGTTTTGATCAGTGCTATGTCTGAGCAGGAAAATTAAAATAGCTTAATTAAAATTATGTTTACTATATATGTATATGTATTTGCAATATAGTGGTGATTATTATACTTCTGTTAAATTGTTTCCTATATAAAGTTCAGAAGGTAAAATAACTATCCTGTATAGTCCACGCATAGCAGAGCTATACCCCGGGGTATAGTTTTTGCTATCCACCCTCGGAAAATTTTCATGACATTTTTGCCGCCAATTTTGATTTCCAGCGATAAATCTATAGGCATGATGATGTCATAATGACTTCAGAAGGATTGTGACGTCATCAGGATTTCAGATTATTCTTGCAGTATTATCTTACTCCAAAAAATTCGAACCTTAAAAACTATATTATACATCAGTATAATAAATCGCTTATCCACTGGTTGTGAGTGGGATAGCTCTTTTATCAAACCCTTGACAGGAACTATTCCCCTCGGGCAAGCCCTCGGGGAATAGTTCCTGTCGCGGGTTTGATAAAAGAGCTATCCCACTCACAACCAGTGGATAAGTGTATAATGTCTAACTCTGCATTCCTTTTGGGAATTGCAAATGTTTCTTTGATGCACACAAATAAATTATTATGTCTTGTGCAGTACTAGTGTTTGGAAAAGTCAGTCAGTCTGTCTGTCCCATGCAGACATACTAATGGAAGGAATTGTAAAAGGTTTTGTCACTTTTGTGAAATGATTTTTGGCTAATGATGATTCGGGAAACAAGTTAACACTAATTGCATCTTCTCGGGCCTTTCCAGCAAGATTAGAACCCCCACCCCCACTTTTTGTACATTTATCAGAAAGACCCAAAAAGTTGAGATTGAAGTTAATGTTTGATGGTCGATTTAAACATTTACGTTACTTTGTATATCTTTCCTTCATTGGGTATATTAAATAAATTGCCCAGTGAGCATATGTCTTTAAAAAAAATTAGACTTATGATGGGTTAAACCAGTTATGTTAATTTTGTCAAGCTAAGTATCAATTCTTTTCTTGTGATTTTCAAATAAATGCAGAAGATTAAATTTTTTACACATACACATAGATTTAAGTTCTATGTACATGGTTACAAACTTTCTAGAGAAATCTGTCTCAGTGTACTGAATGTCAATTTAATTAACATTTTGTGGCAATCTAGGAAACCTGAAAAGGGTTAACCTATCTGTCCCTATTACCTTTACAACTGGGAATATTAAATATAACAGCTTTTAAAATCTCAGTATTACATGATCAGGATAATTCCTCTATCATCTAATTATCACTGACTATGTTAGATATGAGCATGTTTATTTCACTGTGGTTTGTTTACACAGATTCTACAGAAGGCAGAGAGTGAGGTGGCAGCCTATGATGACCAAATCGTGATTCTCTGGATGACTCTATCCCAGCTCTGTCAGACCTACAAAACCCTCACCAAGTGTAAAGAGCGCAACAACCTCTACCAGCATATATTTCTGTAGGCCATTCATCGAAATATCTGAGATATTTGATTAATCACTCATAAGGGGATTTGTTGGTGAAATTTTTATGTCTATTTGTAGTCTGTGTGCAAAAGTAGTGTTGAACATAAAGTGGCAACAGCTTTCAGAGGAGGATCAGAGTAAGCAGAATTTCCGTAAAACTGTGGAGGCCACGCACAACCAGCTGGTGCACGCTGGATTTGATCGTTTTGGTCTGCTGCTGAACATCATGGAAAACCCTTGGACAGATCCCACCATCACGAAAATCATGTCTGGAGACTCGGAGGACGAGAGTAACAGTGACACCGAGGAAGACGAGAACGAAATGAGTGACGAAAGAAAAAAAGAACTCGAGGAGAAGAAGAGAAAGAAAACACAGGAGAGTAAGTACAAGGGAGTTAACTCCAGTCACTTGGGACAGATAGATGGAAACTTAGAGAATTCAACTCTAAATATTAGTAATAAAGATTGTGTTTGGTGTTCTGCGTAGTTTCTGTGAAAAATCTTGTAGATGACAATGCGTTACTAATGTTTTAATAAGGATGTTCTAGTTAAAAAATAATTTGAGAGTAACAAAAATTGTCATTATTTTTTCATGTGTCATATTCAAAGAGAAACAGAAAAAGTTACATATTACATTCTACTAATTCGTGAAAATGAGTATCTTGTAAGAGAGATGTTTTTCAGGAGAAGAGGAGTTTAGTAAGTACATTGCCACAGCGGACCCTCTAATCCTGCGTTTGAGAGTAGAGATGTTAATGCAAGAGAACTGTGAAGAGTGGGCTCTTAATCTCTGTAACTGTTGTCTGAATCAGAGAAAGTATCAATCAGATCTCGAGTTTAAAACAATGCAGCTTCTTCTTCTCTTCAAACTGGGAAACATGGACAAAATCCAAGAAACGGTAGGTTTTATAAAACAATTTATAGTTGGAACTAATTGGTCGATTTATGTATTACTCTTTAACACCCTTCCCCGCAGTCACGCATTTTAACGCATATACCATTTCCTATTTCTAACGCAAAATCATGCATTTACCGTTTCCCCGCAATCACGCATTTTCACGCACTTTAAAAAGTTCATTTAATCTTCAATTTATGCCAAATTCCAATCATTTTATACTTGCTTGAATCTCATAAAATTAGAAAAGTTATTTTCTAATTAGAATATTATTTCAGAATATTATTTACGCTGAACTTTAGAGAAATTTGTACCCCGCTATAAAGAGCTTGCGGGGAAATGGTAAAGTAATATTTCTATAACATGAGGATTCAATGTAAGTTGCATAGCAATTCTGTAAGTTGTAAAGAGTTAAACTATTCAATATAACTTTTTATACGCCTGTCTTAAGACGGTATGTATTATGTTATAGGCTTCGTGTCCCTCCTGCTGTCCGTCTGTCTGTTAGCTTTTCTCGTGTCCGGCTCATAACTTTAATACTATAAGGCCTAGAGTTATCAAACTTTGTCAGCTGATACATCTCGGGTAGAAGGTGTGTCATGCACAAAAAGTAGGTCGCTCTGACCTACCCATAACTAGAAAACCATTGGACTTAGAATCATCAAACTTGGCCAGTTTATGCATCTTAGGTTGAAGGTGTGTCGCTATTTATTTCAAGGTCACTGTGACCTTTAATTTAAGTGAAATTAAAAAAGATGTCTTTTTACTATTCATTTACACATCATTTAACACTATCCTTATTAAAGAAAGTGTTAAATCAGGAAATACTTTTTTTTTCAGCATATACTTGACAGCAATCTATAACAAATATAATGTATGTTAGAGAAATTCCACTTCTCTCATGAGTGTAATTGTCAAGCACAGGTCAAGAAGAATTTTGATAATAGAAAATTGCATGTCAAATTGAGTTTAGTGTGAGGAGCTACCTTGTAGAGCATCTCTGATCAAGCAGGTGTTATCTGTATCCCTTGGGAATTGGGCAAATGGGTCAGCCTGTTGGATTAAAAAATAGCTCTTGTTGGCTAGCCTAAGTTTTAAAATGAATTTGATGAAAAGTAATTAAAACTAATTTGATATTGCATAATAAACTTATTTGATATTGCAGTCAATTCTCGAATTATTGCCGTTTGATTCATCGCCATTTTCGCAATACTGCCATGATTTTCAGAGAACGTTTTTCCTGCTATATAAAATTCTCTTTATACGACCAAATTTCATGTGGTCAGTGTAGCGGCCAATTGGTTTATGCTATCACCAGAGCTCCAAATAAGGTGTGTATTTGCAGAAATACGCATTGAATTTTACAAAATACGCATTGAAATTTAAAATAGGGCATACAATTATGCATTAGCAATTGTAGCTAAGCATTACAACATTAAAGTGCTGCGTACAACAGGTTGAAGAATACAAGTACGATTTATTTAATGATATGAATTGAGGTTAACTTGGTGTTTGATTTTTCTCAAAACGAAGTAGAGATTTAAAAGCCTTTTAGTGACCAGGAATATTCTAGTAATAACGACGATCTCCATTTCGGAAAGAAGAATCAGAGATTTAGATTAAAATTAATTTCTCTAAATAGAAAGACTATGCACTAGGCATAGCTTTTTAATATGGGTTCATAGCCAGTTTTTCATTTCTCTCAACTTAATTGCCATATTAACGAAGATTCTTTTCTCTCAGTTTACTAGCTCTTGATAGGATATCATTTTAAATGGAGGAAACCTTTTCTGTGTCTCTGACTCTATGGTACCTTGACCTAATGTATAATCTTCCATGTCAAAAAAGAATGCTTCCCAGTTTTAGCAAAATTAAAGTATTGTTGGTATTTTCAAAATTTATTTAAATAAATGCAGGAACTGACCTTTGTAGGTTTTTCCCTCATCAAAAACACTTATATTTTGATTATAAGCTTTAAATCAAAATAAAGGTCAAAACATTTATATATATAAACAAAATACTCTTCAATCATTTTGCTGAAAATCAAAATCTGCATTGATTTGAAAATCAGGGAGTAAATACACTTTGGGGTAAAAAATTATCTGGAGCTCTGTATCACTGTTATAAAGCATGCAAAGCCAGACAAGGTACATGCAATTAAATAATTAACTAAGAGTTAAATAAACAATAATTTTAACATGAAATGTTGCTACAATTTTTTTTTTGTTTAGTAAAAATGATTTAGTCATTTTTTCGCCACGAAAGCAGTTGTTAAAATCCACCAATAACGATATTATTTCGACATGATCGATGATCTCTGCTTTAAAAAATGCAAAGTTTGCTTTAAAAATAATGATACAGTATAAAATTGTGAATGTTTCATTATGATGCCATAACAATTAATTTTTTTCAAGAATTCATTATAGGTACTATCGGCAATATATCACTATGTTTGACCCAGCAAGGTTTATTTCAATGTCATACATGCAGATTTACATGCATAAACATGTACATCTTTATTTCATAATTGCACATTTTGTTTTAATCAAAATGTACTACCTGAATTACATGTATTGTAAAATTTAGAAATATGTTTTACATGCATGTACATGTAATAAGAAGAATATAGATATGTTAAATGCATTTCCAAGAATGGTAAGTCTACTTCTTGTTTCCCAAAAGACAGGAAATTCAATTCATCGCCAAATTTGACAAACCGCCATGATTTCTAAATTACAAAAAGGAGCGGTTTTTCAAGAATTAACTGTATATAATATTTTTTATTTAAAAACTAATTTGATGGGGGTGGAATCAGCATGTCCAATTTGTCCATATGAATTGCATAGTAAAACCTATTTATTTAGGATTATATGCATATTTAAAAAATCATGGAGTATTTTATATGTTTTAAAAATGTTTTAGGGTAGAAAGTGCAGATACATTCATTAGGGCCCCGCAAGGATTTGTGGGTGCCCTATAGTAATCACTCTGTCTGTCTGTCCGTCTGTCATTCTTCCGTCCACAAATTTTATGTTTTTTCCTAGTAACTTTTTTTATGGTAGCCCAATTAAGGCCATAATAAAAATATTCCTAGATTCTCATCCCCGCCCGCCCCGATTTTATACCCCCGCCTCGATTTTTTTTATTTTCTGTTTTTTTCTTCATCTTAATTCTGATCGGGATCAGTATTCATCTACCATTCTACTTTCGTTTTAAATCCCGCGAAAGTCGACATGATTTTGACAGCTGAAAAGATGTTAAGGTAGTTCTACACTCGGCACTAAATGGGCTCAATCTTAAAAAATCTGCTTTTATAAGATAGACATCATCCCAGCAATGGATAGACGCAAGAAAAAATATATGTCAACATGTTAACTTTTCCGCTATTGCCTATCGGAGTATATACCCCAAAATGTAAAATACTGAAAATTTACCTATCTTAGATTTTGTTGTATATAAATGAATTAAAGTTTAATTATTCAACTTTAATACCCAAAATAAAGTAGAAAAATGTTAGTAAACAATATATAATCATTGTTTTGCATGAATTATTATAAATAGATGCACTTTGTTAGGCTAACATATCAAAATTTAACATGAACAAGCAAATTCAAAGAATTGGGGTCCCCCGCTTTCGGTGTCTTTGTGGGTGAGATGTTATTTTTTATAACATATTGTGTGTAATATGAACATATCATATGTCATTTATTTAGAAAGTAACATTGAAGTTGATTTTTTTTTGAAGGATGAAAACCCTAATCCTGACCGTTAAAAAGTTATGGAAAAGTAAAAAATTTTCTTAAAGTAAGTCAACTTCAAGGTCAAGATCAAAGGGTCAAAGTTGTTGATATCCAATGAAAGGTTTTCTCACAAGAATTACATATGTGAAGTATGAAAGCCCTAGCCCTTACTGTTCAAAAGTTATGGTCAAGGTTAAAGTTTTTTCATAAGTACGTAAATCTTTAAGGTCAAGGTCAAAGTTGTTGATATCCAATGAAAGGACTTGCCACAAAGAATACATATGTGAAATATAAAATCCTAGTATCTACCGTTCAAAACTTGTGACCAAAGTTAATTTTTTTTAAAAAGTTGTTAAAAACTCCAATGTCAAAGTCAAAGGGTAAAAGTTGTTGGTATCCAATCAAAGGTCTTCTCAAAATGATTACATATGTGAAGTACGAAAGCCCTAGCCCTCACCGTTCAAAAGTTATGGTCAAGGTTAAAGTTTTTTCGTAAGTACGTAAATCTCCAAGGTCAAGGTCAAAAGGTCAAGGTTGTTGGTATCCAATGAAATGTCTTGCCACAAGGAATACATATGTAAAATATAAAAGTCCTAGTATCCACTGTTTAAAAGTTGTGACCAAGGTTAAAGTTTTTAAAAAGTAGTTAAAACTCCAAGGTCAAGGTCAAAGGGTAAAAGTTGTTGGTATCCAATCAAAGGTCTTCCCACAAGGATTACATATGTGAAGTACGAAAGCCATAGTCCTCACCGTTCAACAGTTATGGTCAAGGTTAAAGTTTTTTCATAAGTACGTGAATCTCCAAGGTCAAGGTCAAAAGGTCAAGGTTGTTGTTATCCAATAAAAGGTCTTGCCACGAACAATAAATATGTGAAATATGAAAGTCCTAGTACCTACTATTCAAAAGTTATGGCCAAAGTAAAAGTTTGGAATTTTTGTGTAAAAGTATGTCAAACTCCAAGGTCAAGGTCAAAAGGTCAAATTTGGTGGTACCCAAAGAAAGGTCTTGTCACAAGGAATACACATGTGAAATATGAAAGTCATAGCTCCACTAAATCAAAAGTTATGGGCAAGGTTAAAGTTTTTGTGACGGACAGACTGACAGACTGACCGACTGACGGACAGACAGACAGACGAATGAGATTTAATGTCCCCTCGCTTTCGCGAAAGCGGGGGACAAAAAATGTGCTTCACAGTTCAATCTCCGCCATTTAAAAAAATTATGGACTCAAACTTCGTAAATTTGCATTATTTTTGCTAAATGATATTTAAGAAAAAGAATAAGCTTAAAAAAATTATATGTTGACGCATTACTTTTTGTGGTATGAGCTCTACACTAAAGGGACCCCCCTAATTTCCTTCTTCCAGAAGTAATATATTGCCACATTTTCCTGTAATACTGTTAAAGTTTGAGCGTATACTTGTATTAACAAAGTTGTACATATTTAAAACAATAATTACACACACCCAATACCTATTGTCCCTAAAATTTATCTTATTTTACGCTTTAAAAAAATTAAAACACACTTGTCTGTAAATTGGAGACAATGAAAATGAAAGTGATTGACTGATTCTAACAAATTGGATAATTTTGTTACAGAAAGTAAGTATGCAAGTGAATCAACTTTTGACATATACTTATATTCAAAAGATAATTTTTTGCATTGTGATTTGTGGGTAAGCAGGTTGGGGGGGGGGGGGGGGGGGTATGCGTCTTATACAATAATTATTATACAAAGTAAATTTAATTTTGTAATGTTTAATTAGTAAAATTCATAAATTGTCTAAGTCAAATCGTAGTCATTACTTTTCTTCCGAATTATCACTAGTAACTTTAACTTGGCCGCCTACAATAGTCGCCTCGACTTCGACAGTTTGAAACATGTTCTGATGTAGCATGTTCGTGGTCCGTGTTATCGGCATGGCATGTAACACATGCATCATTCACAGAATTAACATTTTCTTACCTAATTATTTCTGTCAACCGAAAGTTGTTCCCAGCCTTCTCTTTTTAATTAATTAAACTGTAGAATCAGTGTTTGTACGTTTGTTGACGCGAGCGACTTGGAGCAAAATCGTTACCGGATATTTAAAACGCTAAGTAAAAGTCAAACCAGTCTAGTTTAAAAATCACATCTCGGAAAAAGGAAGCGTGGTTCCGGTTTTACTATTCGTAAATGACGTAGTGCGAGTGTAGACCTACTTTAATTGCTGTAATACATGCGTATATATTTTAAACAAGGGTCATTGGTTGAAAAAGATTGGTGATGATGTGAAGTAAGAAATAATTGAACCTTAACTATGACTTTTATTCGGGTAATTGAAGATAAAATTAAGATAAAATTGACCAGGTCAATAAAAAATCTGCAAAATTGAAAAAATAAAAATATAAAATAAAAGCCGCCCGCCCGCCTCGATTTTTAAAATAAATCAGATGAGAATCTAGCAATTTATTTATTATGGCCTAAGTTCAAATTTGGTATGGTAGTTCAGTAGGCAAAAAGACATATTTTGATGCCAAGTTTGTTTCTCTGTCCTATGGTTTGGAGCTGGGGTGGTGGGGTAGATTCCTTAACTTTATATAAGAATGAATTGGCAAAGAGAGATAACTTCTGAAAATGTTCCCATTGTAAACTGAATACTGCAATGAAGGAGTCCCTTGGGATTAATTAGCTTTCACCCTGAAGAAAATCCAAAGCATTATCTGAGATTAATTACCACTTCTGTCTGCAAATGAAGTTTGTTTTGAAGTTAAGCCAATTTGGAATGCTATGAACACTCTGAAATGTGGATTTAAGTACATGGCAGGGTTGTGGTTAACCACTCGCCCACTCGCCAATGCGATTAAAATTTCAAGTGGGCGATGAAGAAATCAAAATTTGATCGCCCACATGGCGAGCGTCTTGTTACCGGAACATGACCGTGCTCTGTTTGTATTTTTATAATCCACTTCCTTTTTTCATAACAAACACTACGCTAACCATGACTTTTGGTGTAGTGTGCAAACTATTACATTTGTATACGATACAAGCACTTGCGTGACCTAGACGTTTGCCCTAGAGTGAAACCAATAATGTGGTGGTTTATTGATGGGGTCAAAAAAACCCAAAAACGTACTGCACAATAAGTGTTATATATACAAAGAAAAGCAGCATTTTCAAATATTTTGTTGATGAGGTGTGTGGGCCCATAAATCACATTGTGGGCCCCTAAACTTTGAAAAGTAAGGGGCCCACATGGCTCCTAGGATGTAAATGGTTAACCACAACCCTGCATGACATGTATAAATGTTTATACTTTATTTTTGTTGAAATACCCTACACAATGAGTTCTGATTTCATTGAATTCATTGGATTCAGGGATAATCCTGTCTACAAGCACCTGTGAAGGAGGCTAGGGAGTCAAAATTTATTTTTTTATGAACCACCAGATATAACTTAAATTTTGGGATATGATATCTTAAGCTGTCAACTATCATTTGGCAAAGAAAAATTTCATAAATTTTTGTTTTACATTTGATCATTTTGTTATATTTTTATATGGAGCTCTTCTTCTAAAGGAGATCAAAATAGTCTAAAAATGGCCACAACCACCCAGCCCCTTTAAGGAATGGAAAAATCATGGAAATCTTAGAATCAAGGTTGACATGATTTTCTCGCACTCTAAACCGTTTAAGATAATTGTAAATTTTTGACGGGCGTATCATGCTGTGGAGTGGCACTTTGTTTTCTATTTCTTCTGGAGGTTTTATATTTTATAAACTTTTACATGTTGAAAGATCAAATCATATTTAAGAAATTGCCAGGGACCACACCCTACCTAAAAGCAAAATAGAAGTTTTGAGAATAACCCTTCTTTTGTATATATTGATATGGACTGGAGTAACTAAGTTTTGCTTAACACAAATGAATGTTCTCTTGTGCTATTAAGACAATTAGGGGGGAAAAAGAACAAAAAGAAAAGATTTCACTACAATTATATGGATAAAGGGGTATAAGTTCCCATCCTGACCTAAATATGCGAGAACTATAAAAAAAAAACTGTATTTGATTTATGAACAATGAACCATGAGTTTTTATGGACAATGAACCATGTGTTTTACATAGGATGGAAGTAATTGTGTGTTACTTTTTGTAACTTAATACAACATCAGTTGTCATTTATAAGATGTATTGCATCAATAATTTTTGTATACTTGAAGATTTGACCCCTGTTAAGATTTTAAGAAATAAGGTGGATAAAAATTACCTCTGTCTTTTAAAAATCTAGCAAAGTTTTCATATTTTGCCTTGGTTGCCCCCAAGATGCTTGCACAAACATTTCTTTTTCATCTAACTAAGGATGTTAGGAGAGAAAAAACCTTTCAACAATTGGCACTGAAGAATTTTCAGATAGTATAGATTGGACAAGACTGGGCGTTCAAAGTTTTACATCTGAATATATAGGGAAAAAAAATCTAAAGTCATTTTTCTGAGAAAAATTGTCACTGGTAGTGGAAAAAACAAAGAGCACTGAGCTCACAAAATGATAAGCTGACTGTTCCCCATATTGATCAAATCATTGCCATGGATTAAAATTTAGTTGTCATGACCCCTTGGATCTTGATTAGGGCCACTCAAAAGGCTGATTTTTGATCACTGAAATAAACTGAAGTTTAAAAGCACAAGAACAAGTTTATTGAGTTCAAGTAAGGATAATGAAAGTTGCAGAAACAGCTTACATATTATATAATGTGCGTGTGTTAAAGAAAAAATGTTCCAATATTCACTGTGTTTACCTTGTTATTATTAGTGTTTAATTTAACCAAACTTTGTTTCAGTGTGAAACCATTGAGTGCCATCATGGAATATACATCATAGAACAGCTGGAAAAGAAGGAGACCAACCACAGTTTATGCGTACGACTTATACAGATTTTTCTTGTTCAGGATTGGATAAGGCCTGACAGAAATTGCTGTACAAAGGTATTTACGCTTAGAGTGTCATCAAATTTTTTTTCTGTGCAACAAGTCTGTGTTATTTTTGAATGGCCCTCTTACACTTTACTGACTATATCTAACTTTTCCAGTTTATTCAATTAACCAAATTAGTTAAATGTTGTGACAGAAATAAAAACACAGTTACAATACGAAATTCAGAAACAATTTGAAGACTGAAATGTACCATCCAATCGTAAGGCATGTGACTTTCCATTTTCTGCCAACTCTTACGATTTTGGCGTAAGTCTTACGAAATAAGCGTCCAAAATACGCCTTACGATTTCTCTCGTTTTTTTCTTGACCAAAATATATAATACCAGAATTTTCATAACTAACCATCTACAGTTTCTACTGTTATAATTAGATGTTCATAATCCTTACAATGCTTGCTTGTATCGTCGTTTCGGATTCAGATGGCCGATCACATTCATGTCAATGTTTTAAAGTAAACAAAATGAAAACGTGTTTCAAATAGCTCAGATTGCAAGTTCATTTACAAAACATTTTCAGCGGTAGGGGGCCTAGGCAGTTGCCGGACCACGCCTTACTATTTTTCATTTCAGAATGTTGGCAGCTCTGCTTATGCAAGAATTATGTTAGAAATGTGTGTATTCATTTGGAAGTAATTAAATTAAAAATATGGTTTTCATTTGTTCATAGTTCAGAAATGTCTTGTTAACAGTATTGTTGAGATTATGTCAAAGATCACTGAAATATACTAAACTTATGAAGATCGGGACTCCCAACAGTGACAGTGGTAAAATTCAAGTCATATGCTAAACCGCTCTTGTTACTCAAATAACATTTCTTGGTTGCAGAAGCTGCTCCAAATGTGGATTAAATACCAGTCAGTAGAGGATAAAGATAGAGATAAATTTCTGGACAGTGTTTGGGCCATTGCCAAGATCTCCTCTAGTACTGACCAGGTCAACCAGCTGGTAACGGGGCTAGTCAAAAAGGTCAGTTATCTAACATTGTCAGGACATCTTTAGCAATGTAGGAAAAATCATGTGTTTAATATTTATTTACTTCATTTTTTCAGTGTGGCCTTAACTTACTTCAGCTATACACAGACCTGTGTGTTTATGCAATTAACTTTGATAAAGGATGTTGTGAGCAGCAGATGATTCAGGGAAATATGGAAGGAGTTAAAAAGCAACAGTGGGCCATCTCTGTTACTTGTATCAAGCTCGCTGATCTATATTGTAACTGTAGTCCAAAACTGGCTCGGACTGCAGCACTAACAGCATTCTCCTTAAATCCTACCATTCAGAATTTTAATGTGGTGAGGAAAACTTTCACTGATAAACGTAAGGAGAAAATGCAGGCAATGAAACAAGATTCATCAGATGACAAGGGAAAAGAAGCACCACAAAAAGAATACAAGCCAAGACAGAGTAAATATCTGCAGAAAGTGAATCCTGCAACCATTCATGAAGTGGAACGTTTGCTCAACATGCTACGTCCCTATTATCTGGACCCAGAAATGGGATTTGAAAAACTTCAGCCAGTGTGTCAAAAGTTCATGGAAGAGAGAGGTGGTGGGATAGTGGAACCACCAAAGAAACCGATGCGACCTCCACCCAAAACAACACCATCCCGCCAGAACTCGGATATCCAGTATTACTGTGATGACAGCACTGCATTGTCCAGGCCTGCTAGTGCCTTGATAAAAACAAATGTTAAAAACCTGGCAAACATGCCCCAATCCTCTTCCTCTTCTGCTGAATCCTCCTCCTCAGCCAAAGGTCAATTATTTGGTAACAAACCCCGTTCATACCGTGCCATGTCCCAACCAGAAACTGTTCCCAAGGTTAACAAATCATATCGAGTCAATACAAACTTAAACCAGAGACTTGTCCCGGCGATACCTCATTCACTTACTCCCAAAGTGTCTGCTGTTGATTCTTCCAGTAACATAAGTGAACTGCTAAAAGCCACAAAGACTCTGCTTCAATACAATCCCGATAAAAGTTCGACTACATCACAGTTATATCCCTCATCCACCCAAGTACCAGCACCACAAGGTACTGGAACGGTTCACAGCCAGCAACAAGCCACAGAACTGTTACGTAGACATAGTGTTAACCTTCCTGTGAAAACTGATGGAAACATTCTTAGTAGAAGTGAAGTCATAGGAGAAGCTGGTGATAAGTCCATCTACCATCACTTATACCAGCCCCTTAAAGTGCAGGAACCAACCAGTTTGAAAACCACAAAGCCTCCATCCAACAAATTACATGTTACTCAGATTTCATCTGCGAGCAATTTTCCATGTAGATCTAGCAGCTATAATTTAGCAGCCCAAGTAAATGTTCAGGGTAATGCTCACGCTGCAATAAGCAGACCAATGGAAGGAAGTTTTCCAGCAGCTAGCAGTGCAGTAGACACTCGTCGACCATCAGCAGAGGAACTTCAGAGCATTGTTGATTGGTTACAGCTGGGAACAGAGGATGCTGTATCTAAACAGAACAGTATCAGTTATAATCCCTCCGTTCCTCAGACCCCTCCCCCAGCCCACATCCCACAACCTTCCCTCCAGAACAGAGGACAAAGTACAGTTCAGGAATCTCCAATTCATTCACCTTTGCCATCAGGACAAAAAGTTGATTTGAACACCCTTCTTTCAAAGCCACAAGTCATGACCAATGTACTAAAGATTCAGCCAAAAGGAAAAACAGCTGTGCAAGAAGCAGCATCACAGATCTCTCAGAGATTGTCAGACCTTCGGTCACAGACTGATAGTAGGTCAAATGATGTGCAATTGCTCCTTAATCTACAGAGGAAATCCCATAGCATACGAAATCAACCTAATGTGCCCAACACTGGTCAACCAGAGAAAGGAATTCTCGGAAAGGATGCTCAGAAGAATCTCACTGACAAAGACCTGTCCTTAGAGGAAATGAAAAGAAGGATTGCAGAAATTGTGCAAAAACAGAAACTTCTTTGTGCAGCTACACCTGACCAGCCAGCTAAAAGGAGAAGATCTGCCTCACCAAAAGGAAAAAAACGAAGTATGACCTCTTCATCATCAAATCAGAGCAAGATTATAAACCAAGTTCAAACTCCAGCAGCTGTTGTAACACAAGAGAGTTGTAAGCTGGCCAGTGAACAGCAAACTGATGTTCAAAAGCAGCAAATACAGGAGTGGTTTAATAACCGCCGACAAGTTCAACAGCAGATAGAAATGCATAAACAGCAACCACAGAACACCAGCCTTTCAAAACCACAATTAATTCTACAGCACCAAGTTGCACCTATTCAATATGTATCAGCATCACAGGTTGAAAACCTACAAAATAGTGCAGTTCAAAGAACAAGTTCCAAAAGTCAAACCCCAGCTTTGTTTGGAAATGCTGGTCCCCCACATAGAAAGACAGATCAATATGAACAAAGGCTTGGCTTATTGTCAAAATCATCTCATTTGTCTCCTACCAAGACAACTCTACTGGAGCAAAAGCTTCTTCAAGATGACAGAGTAATAGCTTCCACACAAGATAGCAGGAAATCTAGCAATGTGTCACAGGCTTTACCACATCTAGATATTTTACAGGACAGTGTACCTCAGCTTTCAGCAAGTAACCTGACAAATCACTCACTTTACCCACCTCAGGCCTCACACATGAGTAGAAAAGGGAGTATCGTAGAATCTGTGAATGCTGAAAGGAAAACACCCTCATCTGATGGCAGCACACCAACAACATTATTATCAGTTCTTCTGGAAAAGTCAAAATACATCAACTCTGTAGCAGCAACCTCTCCTAGTAGCAGTGTTCCCCAAAGCAATGTACTATCCTCACAAACAAGTAAGGACAGTCAACCAGTTTGTTTAAGTTCAACACAATCAAGAACTACATCTTTCATGTCAACAGCAACTAACCCATCACCTGTAAAATCCAGTTCCCAGCAAATGCTCTCAGTTTTATTGCCACAAACTGCACACTGTGGTAAGCAGCCTATAGAGAATTCCAATTCCTCTCCTACCTCGTCTACTTTTGGTGCAGGGAAGAAAACTGTAGAAAGTTCTACTACTAATTTGGTGTCTTCTGCCAACCAGTCAACCACAGCATTCCAGCTGAGGTATGTTGGTCAAATCAAAACTAAAGAAATTCCATCAACACCAAATTCTGAGTCTGACTTACTGAGTGGCATTACTAGTAGCCTTGGAATACAGAAATCTGCAGAGGGGCTGAAGCAAGTCGTCACATGCATTGACAGTGATGTTGTAAGAGAAATTTCAAAAATGATGGAAGGTGATAAAACAAAACATGCAAATCTTCATTTAGGAACTCCAATTCAGTGCAAACCTCAACAAGAAACTGAAAGTATGCACAGTGTTACAAGTATTCATAACAGAAATGAATTGCATCACAATTCAAGACAAAAAAATCATGAACATTTTACAGATTCTGAGGTGTCGGTGACCCATTCTCAACAGAACAATTCTAATCCCAAACAGAATTTAGAATCAGCAAGTGAACAGAATGATGATATAGTAAAGAATTATAGACAATCATTAATTGATTCCATAGAAAATGGCATAAAACAGTCAATGGAAAAGATTGATGTTTCCGCAGAACTACTGGAAAAGTTGGAAGTAACTAATAGATCTCCTGAAACCAGATGTGAGAAAGTGAAGGAGTGTGCAGACACTGCTGATACATCACCATCTGAGAGTGAAGCTCTTGAAACTGGAATTCAAATTGATCAAGATGGGTTGGAACATTCATCTTTGAAGGACTCCACTGAAAAATCTGAAGTTCCAGCTGAATCTCAAATTTCACTGCATTTGAACATGGATATAGATTCTACTAAAGGAAAGGTTTCTGAAAGTTCTCCAGACAATCATTTGAAGGTTACTGAAGGAGATAAAAAAGTTCCATTGACTTTGGCTACATTTTCAGCTGGAGATGAGTTGAGACAATGTACTGAAAAAATTCCAGAAACATCTTGTGACCAGAAGAATGCTGAAATGTCACCAGAAGTAGCTGGGGGACAAACCAACAGACCTTCTGAGACAGATTCTGTAGATCAAATTTCAGAAAAAGCCAGCTGTGTGTTAGCTGAGGAGAGAGAAGTTAACAATGACAACAGCAATTTACAGGAGTTAGACAATACCAACAGCAATTTACAGGACTTAGACAATACCAACAGCAATTTACAGGACTTAGACAATACCAACAGCAATTTACAGGAGTTAGACAATGCCAACAGCAATTTACATGAATTACTTGCTGCAAAGGCTGATAAAGTGTCTACAATGATGGATAAGAGTTATACTGAAAGTGAAATTGAAGACATAGACAAAATTGTAGAAAAACAACATATACCAATTGAAGCACATAAAAACACTTCAATAGAAACTGTAAACAACATACCAGAGAATATGAAACTAGAATCTGAGAAGCCAGTGGAAGAAGAAGATGCCCAAGATTTTCCACTGGACAAGATCTCGGAGAAAGATCCAGAAACAAAAGATAAAACTTCTGAATTGATAAATGAGACTTCATCAAATAGGGATTTGGCAACAACTTCCAAAGATGTTAAACAAGTAGAAAAATCTGACAATGTGGAACATATTGATCTTCCATCTGGAATAGAAAGTCAAACTTCAGCAATTGATGGATCTGGAAGTGACAAAGCACCAGATGAGAAGCAAATATCAAAGCAAGTAGATCAGGGAGCAGCATTTGAAGATTCTGTATCCATGGGGAAAGATCTAATTCAGGAAGAAAATCCCTCTGACATTGACCAAAATGCTGCAACCTCTAATTTGAATGTAAAAACTGATCTGGTAGAAAGCAGAGAAACAGAGGAAAACTTTGTTTCAGACAACAATGACAACACAGAAAACCTCTGTATGGAAGACATTAAACATAGCAATATTGATCGATCTAAAGTCATTCATAAACTTAAAAGTGACATGAATAATCTTCTACACCAAATAAAAGATCTCAATGGAGGCCATGTTGCTGAAAATTTGAGTGAGACTTTACCTGAAAGTAAGATAAACTCCTGTCAGTCAGTAGGCAGTGATGGAGATGGAGAGGCTTCCAGACCTCCGGCACCAGTCCAGAATAAGGAGGGTACAGAGGAGGGAGGTTCACATAACAAAAGTACAGAATTAGATCAAGATTATTCAGTTCAAGTTACTGTGCCTTCAGAGATGGACCACAAGGCAGGGAAAAGTGATGTTGCAGAAGATAGTGTGCAGCAAGAACATGATATTGACGAAACTAGTTTACAAGAAGAGAAAAATATGGACAAATCTAACCTCGGGATATTGGGAGAAAATGACTTGGAAAAGGGAAATTCCTATTCTGTGGCAGAGAATGAAAACTCCAATGTACTGGAAGAAGTTAAATGTGAGGAAAAAATTGAAGATAACTCTGAGCAAGAAATTAACAAAATTGAAGATAAATCTGAGGGAAAATTTGACAAAGTTGAAGAATTAGTGATGGATAAGAAACTTGATGAGAAAAAAGAACATGAGTTGGATCCAAAAAAGTCTACAGATGTTACATGGTTCAAGAATGTGGAATATAAAGAAGAAAAAATGAAACATTGTGAGGATGAAAAATCAGTAGACGAAGGAAGAGAAATTGAAGAAGGCAATAGGAAATTGGACAAACTGAGAAAGAGTCAGAAAAATAAGAAGAGTGACATTCCTGCAAATTTTGGATTTGATTTTTGTGATGAAAGTATTGCAGATCAAACAAAATCAGAACTGAAATCAACGTCTGAAGTTACCAAGACCAAACCAAGTGAATTTGTTAAAATATCTGCCCCTGAGTCAAAGCACAAGAAATTGCAAGGGTCAGCCATCCTGCAAACAAAAAAGAAATACAGAGAAAATTTGCAAGGAGCACAAGAAAAGGCAGAAAAAATTAAAGAACACATCATCTCTGCCACTAAAGTAGTAGAGATCACAGAAAAAGCACTGGCAAGTCCAGTAGATTCGAAAGGGTTATCTGCAGAAACAAAAAGAAATTTGTCTGGGTCAAGTCGTGTAAATGATGTTGAATCTGACCAACACTCTGTATCTTCAACGTCATCAAGTTCTTCCATATCGAGCAGTAACCTTTCACAGACTAGCCAGTCCAATTCCGATAAAGAGAAGGGAGTCAAAGAAGGTCTAGCAAAGATCAACAAATGTTTAATTTGTGGGAAGGAATTTAGATCAGTTTTCAGTTTAAAAGAACATGTAAAAAATAAGTGTAAATCTACAGACTTGGTACGATCTAAAGACTATGAATTTACATCACGCTTCACTTGCACCAAGTGTGGTATGCTGTCATCTTATGCATATGATATGAGGGATCATCTCAAGAAAAAGCATAGTATGATAAATGACAAAGACTTTGATGATCTGGTCATAAGTTCTTATAAATGTGAAATGTGTGGTGAATCATTCAAGGATAAACCATCAATATACTCTCATGTTTCCTCTGGCTGTTCACACATTGCTTCCAACAGGAAGAGAAAATACAGAATTCTTGTAGATGATAAACATAAAGTGAAGAATGTGCCAAACATTGGGAACCCTAATCAGAGGAAACAGAGGGAACAGCTCATCTCTGTAACAAACCAAGATTCTCAGAATAAATCAGAGAAAGAAAAGACCCCAACAGCCAAAGCTGAAACACACACACAGCCGAAGTCTGCAATCTTAAAAAGTGAAGAGACAGATGTAAAAATTGTTACCAACTCTGAAAGCCTTAAGAAAATGTCAAAGGAAGATATAGTATGTCCAAATACTACTTCCTACAAGAAATTACAGAACACAGATTTTGAAAAAAATACTGTAATTTATCCTGTTGAAGCTAGTACCTTAGAGAGCAGCCAAAACATAGGGGAATCAAATGTTTCCAACCAACGGATCACACGCTCTAAACTGGAAAACAACTTAGCAAGTCCAATTTTTGGACAAAACCAAACTGTTGTAAAGCAGCAGGGTTTACCAGAGGATCCCAGTAAGAAAATAAAGAAAGGTTCAGGGAAATCTGTAAAGACTGAAGATGAAGAAACATGTAGGAAGGCAGAAGTTCAGGAGGATCTCTGTAATAAAACTACAACAGGGATGGCTGAGAAGGCAGATCAGTCGTCATCAAACCTAGATAATCCCAGTAATGATTTCCTTGAGAAGCAGTCAAAAACTGCTGTAACAAGACAGCAGTCCAAAACAAGGAAAATGAGTCTTACTCTGAATTGTAATGATCCAAAAAGTAGGAAAAAAGATGATTCTAAAGATGTATCTGATCTCAGCAAATTAACATCTCCTAAACCTTGTAAACAGTTATCTAATATGAGGCAGACAAGATCTAGAGGGACAGTGGAAGATGTTGACCTTAAGGATTTGAAAAAAGTAGAGATGAATGTTCGCAGAAGTAAAACAAGATGCCATAGTGAATCAACTGATGGGCCTTTGCCATCAGACAATTCTGAGGTAGAAATGCAACAGAAACCTACTGAGGAGTCAAAGAAAACGAAATTACCTGATAATTCCATTGAGAGTGGTGACAGACATTCCATTTCAGAAGATAGAGATTCCAGTCATGGAACTAAAGATAAAAGTCAGAAGAAGAAAAAAGATTCCTCATCCAAACAGTCATTGGAAGAAGTGCCTACAATGGGGAAGAGATTAATCAAAGTGAAAAAATATGATCAGTATGAAGTTCCTGATTTCCTGAAATCACAGGTTAACAATTCAAACATGAAAAGACAGTGTCGTTCAACAAAAGTCTCAAGTAAAGTTGTTGGAAATCCAGCATCTTCAACAAGAAGTGCCACAAAGAATGATCCCATTGTGCCAACAAGAAATTGCAGCAAATGTGGGAAAAAATTCTCAAATCAGACAAAGTTGATTAAGCACATTGCTAGTGTTCACCTTTCTCCAGGCAAATCCCATACTAATCCTCGATATCAAAAGTGTTCCTACCAGTGTAGATACTGTAAAGCTACCTATAAGTCATATATACAGTTCCTGAATCATGTACCTGGACATGCAGAACAGATACTAGAGGGACTGGAAAGTAAAATAGTCCCTGCTGTTGTTCATGTTCCTTCAAAATCTGCACATGAACACGAGGCAGAACAGATCTGTTCAACAAATGTAGTAAACGATGTCAAAAGTGAGGAAATGGCAGAGAAAGATAAACCCATGGAAGCATTAACTCGAGCCACAAGACAATCAGAAAGTAAATTAAAACAGATCAAAGATAACGGGGAAACTCATGTGTCCACAAGATCAAGACGATTGACTGCATCATCAGACGGAGAACAGAATGATAAAATGTCTTACAAATCTCAAGACAACAAAACAAACAAGGAAGAAGACAAGCATAAACTGAATAGTGCAACTACTTTACCAAAAACGGGCAAAGAAAAGAAATATAATACAACATCAGAGGAGCAAGTCGGCAGGACCAGAAGTCGCAGCAGAAGTGCTAGGCATTCAGAAGTCACCGAAACAAAAGAGGAGAAATCAGACAGAGAGCTGAATTCTTCAACCAGGCTGTTAAGAAATAAGAAGGAAGAGGAAGATAATGAGAAATTGTCCAAAAGAAAACAAGAGACTAACCCTATTAGAAAGACGAGGCTGCATGTCAGTCTTGAGAAATTGTCACCAAAAGCTACAGAACACATCACTCGATCAAACTCAAAAAGAAAATCAGAATCTTTAGATTCCTCAATTCCTGCCAAAAAACAAAAGGAAGAGATCTCAGATTCCACAGAGTGTGAAACCAGTGAATTTGAATTAGCTGGATCAGATGCAGAAATTTCATTCCGAAAAAGAATGTGTAGAAAGAGAAAAGTACCTAATTTTGTAGAAATGTGTGGATCTGATGTAGATGAGACAACAGGGGATGAAGATTATAATCCAGCAGATGATGAAGATGATGTTAATGATGATGATTTTATTCCTAAAGAAGTCAATATATCAGGAAATGTAAAGAAAAAACGTGTTGAAGTCCAGAATGCATGTAGTTATGATAATGCCTCGGACAGAAAAAAGAGCAGTCAAGAAATGGTTCATGTGACAGTTGTTGAAGATGATGAGTTTGAATATGTGAAATCTCCGACTCATGAATTTCAAACCTCATCATTAAATGAAGAAATCAAAAAGTCTGCCGCTGTATTACCTGATAAAAAACACCAAATTGTATTGTCAAGGTCCTCTAAGGATAATACAGCATACTTACATTCCTTCATGTCTTATATTGACAACCAGAGTAAAAAAATGACCAATAAAGAGAAGGTTGTCAGTGAAATGTTAACACAACAGAAACCAAGAACAAGAGAAAGAAAGTCCCTACCAGCCAATCAGAAGGCTAAGAAAAATAAACCTGCTGATACAGATAGTGATGTTCCTTCAAATGTAGAGGAGAAATGTGTACATTTAGAAACTAATGAGAAAGCAGGAAGCAGTGCTGCCAGTCAGGCCCGGGGGACATTCCTGGATAGCTTCTTACAGCATTGTAATAAAGCAACAGATGACCAGATGGCAAGAAGAGCAGGATCTGAGAGGAGAGAAAGTCCAGAGACGGCAGCCCCTGATCGTGTGGAGCAGTCTTGTGATAAGTCGTCAAAGGCTCAACAGATGCAGGAATCTTGGTAAGTGTGAATTAAGTAAAAAATAAACAAATCCTCTAGTATTAAAAAAAAGGAGGATTGATTTGGTTCATAACAATGTAATTGCCTGAATAGCTCATTGATACAGTATGTTCAATAAACTTATCAATTGCTTTGATGAAACTGTGGGTAAGGGTGACCCATAAAATCAACCAGAAATTGATTGTACCATGATTGTTAAATACATTTCAGTGATACAAAGACAGATGTTCTGGTGAAAGGAGAAATGGATAAGAAAAGTGAAATGGACCAAACAGTTACAGACACTGATGGTAGAGGCTTGGGGAATGCTTTCCAGGACACATTTAAATCTTTTGTGACGGCAGCCTCCACGAAGGGGGATGACTCCATGGAGGACAACAAAGCCTCCCAGAGTGGGAGTCTGTCTGAGGTTATCGAGGGTCTGAGTGATTTGACAGATCGGAGTCGCCGCGCTGGCTCAGCGGTGTCTGAGGACAGTGTACAGACAGTGAGCTCTCGGTGTACCGATGTCAGTGAAACGAGCGATGTAGCTCAACATGGAGGAACAAAATCTCACAGTGGCTCCAAAAGCAAACGAATGAGACATATTTATCACAACGGGAAAATATGGCATGTTGGAGCAGGGAATGTCACATCAATGTCAGTGAAGCCTGAAACCAAGGCAGAATCAGTGCCTAGTACACCTCTGACTCCTTCACATAGCCCTGGAAAGAGTTTAGTTAATACAACAAAACAGCTCATCAAAGTAGATCGGGGTAAAAACTCTCCCCCGGACAGTGGTAATAATACCTATACATATACAACAGTAGAAGAACTAAAAAAAGACCCACATTCCTCAGTAAACAAATGGAAGGTGAAAAGAGACAAAAACAAACTTAGCTTCAAAAAATGATAATTCTAAAACAGAATTGTTGTAATGTTTGAATGTTTAGTGGATGACGGAGTGTATGTGTGTGAAGTTCATTCATTTGTGATTGTTGAGAATTTTATGTATGGAAGGTCATTTTAATAATTTTGTAGTAATGCCTGCCTAATTTGAATGATTAACAGGTGCCATTTGTCATTTTATATCTGTCCAGAATGACATTAGTTGTGAAAGATAAGCCTGATTATTACATGTACTGGTTATATGAACATGTCTATCTATAGTGTTCTCTTCAATGAGAATTGTATATTTTTGGAGGTGCTGAGCTCAGTCATGTTTCTTTAATTGGTGACATAATATGATAGAGCTGCATTTTTTGTAATGAAGCCATGAATTCTTGAAATACTCTTTGAGTGTCTACAGAGCTACAGTTGTTAACATTTTTTTAATTTGAGAAAATGTAGAATTGTATGAATTGCAGAACTTGAATTGGTTAGAAATTGAAGATTTCCATCATGGATGTGTTGGTTTTATAAACGTTTGATTTCTTTTTTTTTTTTTTGCAATTTATATATTACTCTAGTTGTGCACCTGAAACAAACATTATGTGCAGCATTTCAGTCGATAGTTGTGCAATATCCATTAAGCTATAATGAAGTGTACATGGACACATAATAATCTATAGTGACAAATTGCATGTCATTAACCATGTTAACCTAAAATGTGCTACCAATTTTAGACATTCTCTGATTAATAAACATGTAGTTGTACATTTGTATATTGAATATTTTTCATGAAAAAAAAGCATGTAAATATATAATAAATGCAATAAAAAAATCTAAGGAACATTTCTTCTTAAACAAGAGGGAAATGGTTTAAATAGGTCAATTGTAACTATGATGTTTGTCTTGACCTCAGCTGTCCTAGGCAAGGCATAATGTACATGACACAATGTCCAAGTTGAGGCATGGTATACACGACAAAATACCCTAGTCAAGGCATGATATGTATATGACAAGATGTCCTAGTCAAGGCTTGGTATACATGACAAGATGCCCTAGTCAAGGCATGATATACATGACACCCTAGTCATGGCATGGTGTACATAACAAGATGTCATAGTCAAGGCATGATATACATGACACCATAGTCAGGGCATGATATACATGACTAGATGTCCTAGTCAAGGCATGATATACATGACAAGATGTCCTAGTCAAGGTATGATATACATGACACCCTAGTCATGGCATGATATACATGACAAGGTGTCATAGTCAAGGCATGATATACATGACACCATAGTCAGGGCATGATATACATGACTAGATGTCCTAGTCAAGGCATGATATACATGACAAGATGTCCTAGTCAAGGTATGATATACATGACACCCTAGTCATGGCATGATATACATGACAAGATGTCCTAGTCAAGGCTTGGTATACATGACAAGGTATCCTAATCAAGGCATGATATACATGATAAGATGTCCTAGTCAAGGTATGATATACATGACAAGATGTCCTAGTCAAGGTATGATATACATGACACCCTAGTCAAGGCATGATATACATGACAAGATGTCCTAGTCAAGGCATGATATACATGACAAGATGTCCTAGTCAAGGCTTGGTATACATGACAAGGTGTCCTAGTCAAGGCATGATATACATGACAAGATGTCCTAGTCAAGGCTTGGTATACATGACAAGGTGTCCTAGTCAAGGCATGATACACATGACAAGATGCCTTATAAGGTATGGTATACATGACATGATGCCCTAGTCAAGATATGATAAGGCATAAGAAGATGTCCCAGTCAAGGCATGATTAACATTACAGCCTACAGTATGTCCTAGTCATGGCATGATATACATGACAAGATGTCCTAGTCAAGGCATGATATACATGACAAGATGTCCTAGTCAAGGTATGATATACATGACACCCTAGTCAAGGCATGATATACATGACAAGATGTCCTCATCAAGATATGATATATGTGACGTGATGTCTTAGTCAAGGCATAATATACATCATAATACATGATATAAGATTGTCCTAGTGAAAGCATGGTAAACATGACACATTGTAGAGTCAAGACTTGTATACCTGACAAGATGTCCTAGTCAAGGCATGATAGATATGACATGATGTCCTAGTCAAGACCTAATACTTGACAGATGCTACATTCCTTAATAATATATAAATTTGTCGGAGACATTGTTATTGAAGTATTGTTATTTAAATATGCTAACGCAAACAGTGGGGTAACTTACAAGGCATTTGTGCAAGATAGCAGGGGGTAGTGTTTCTTATATAATCCTTTTGGAAAAAACATAATTTTCCAAAATGAGATCTGTTAGTTTTTCATTTTTTAAAGAAAACTAGTTACTGGTTTAGAAATCTACATGCAATTAAAATTTGAATATTTTTCATACATTTCAAAAATATGCAAAACACAGTTATCTGAGGAACTTTAACCTCTTGACCTTGGAGTCTGACCCACTTTAACCAAAAATTTTTTAACCTTAACTTTGGTCAGAACTTTTGAATAATTGGTGCTAGGGCTTTCAATTATACTCTATACGTGTATTCACAGTGACAAGACCTTTCAATAGGTGTAAAAATATTTGACCTTTTGACCTTGACCTTACAGTTTGACCCACTTTTAAAAAACTTTAGCCTTGACATAACTTTTGTAACCTTAGTACTAAGGTTTTCATATTTTACAAGTGTATTCCTTGAGACAAGACCTTCATTTGGATACCAACATTTTTTACCTTTGAGTTTTACTTGCATTTGAGAAATCCTTGCTCTAAGCTGCTATTAGTGTTTCACAAACACATCTTGTATAGGTAGCGACTGTTCCTTTGCAAAGTGCTGGACACCGTTATATGGTGACGTCTCAAATGAGTGAAAAATTATTGCAAGGGACATGAAACAATCAATGAATGGAAATTCATGTAAATATTTCCTTTTCCCTCAAATGTTGGATCCTGCGGGGCTAAGTGGGTACTGTGAAATCACTAATTTTAGTGGGGGTTTCATTTTTGTTGTTTTCAAAGTATGGAGAGACCCATGAAATGTAAAATTTCTTATGCATTATTGCTAATTTAAAACATTTTCAAATCACAAAATCAAATCCCCACAAACCAATAATTTTTCTTAAACCTCGAAAAATTTGACCCCACGAAAATATGTGATTTTACAGAACCGGTATAAATATCTAAATATAATATATGGTGTTCCAATATGAGTGAAAATTCTTGAAGGAACAAGGGGAAAAAAACACATAAAACATAAAATTTAAGGCATAACATACTTTAATCAACTCATAAATTCAAAAATTGCACATATTATATAACTATTTCAACATAAACTGTTAACTCCTTCAGCCATTTTAAAACTTTGCTAATTTCAGGAGTGATTAACTTTGTGTGTTTACTGAATCAAAAAGAGGAATATGGAATGTTTCTGAACCTGACAAAACACTTATCTAAATAAACTGATTAGATTATAGTTTTAAAAAATCTGTATTGATAATCAAATACATTAAATCAATGTATGAAAAATAATGAAAGTAAGCCTTGTTTTATAGGGATTATGAAGTGGTTTTTGGTTTCAAAATTACGGATGACAGGATTGTCTACCAAGATTGTTAAACTGAGAACATCTTTAAAAAAAAAATTAGAGGTTACAGGTTTAAAATTTTCCATACTAGCTTTGATTTTTTTCATGACTACATTTCAGTTTACCTTTTTTATTTTATTTCTCTTTTATACATTTTCTTTCTTAAAGACAAATGTGGTAACTTTATAGTTTTCATTAACATTAAAAAAACAATAAAATTCTAAATGTAGAACTTGTTCACATTATTGGAATTTTCAGATTTGATGGAGAATATCAGGAGAAAGGGACATTGTTAAAAATAACAAAAGTACATGTATACATCAAATATTAGACATGCTTTAAAATGCGTTTCAAAAGAAAAATCCTCTTACACATTTACTTTGAAAATGGGGGTTCTTGACAAAACTATCTTCAAAAATTCCCATGGGCTACACAGCTCATCTGATTAACTTTGTCTTGGTATTCCTCATAGGATCCCCTTCCTGTCATTTTTTGGAAGAATATTACATTTTTACAGCATTGTGGCCCTTTATTAGCCTTAAGAGGTTCATATTTAACTTATTCCACCAAAATGTTAACAAGGATGCTTCAATATCAGGTATGTCTATTTCAACAGTCATACTGCTCTGTAAGAGAAGACTCTTACTGATTTTTTTCCTGGTTACTTGCATTAAGTAAAATTTGATCAATCTTATTTTTTAAATATGAAAACATAGATTATAGGATTGTCTCTTGTCAATATGATTTAATATGGTGTTGCTACTTTTTAAAGAGTTTTCCCTTCATGTTGCCTTGTAAAAGTCTGAAACCCATTTTAGTTAAACTCTGTCTTCTGGGACTATTATTTGAACATCATTACATATTGACTAATAATGTGTACAGAGGGTCAGCCCAACAGATAGCACTGAACAAACTGTGATCAGAAAAATTCAGGAGAGCTTTATAGGTCATCACCATGGTTATACCGTTATCTAGTCGAATACAACTTCTATGACATTATGAGGCAAGACATGATATGTATCTATTCACAACAGATTTAGAACCAAATCTTTAACTTAATGCTGTATTAATAATAATTTATCCTTCAAAATTTTTCATTTGAAGTCTCGATAGGTGAAAATTGATTTCCCCAATGTGAAGTTATTAAAACTGTCCTCGATCTCTTAAAATTTGACAGTCATGTATCTTATGTAGGTGTGCAACAATACATTGATGCATTGTGATGCATAGGAGGTCATTTTCTTATATCTACTCATGATATGAAACATCAATTTTATTATTTCAAGATACTTTATGGAAGATAAATATGTGTAATGGTTTGGTCTTTAAATTAGAGCATTTGTGTTTAACAATATAGCTAAGCTCATTATAAGTCTGAAAGAAGGGTCAAAATAGAATATTAATTTTGCTTCAAGCTAAGTTTTGGGAAGTATCATTTTCTAATAGAAATGCTGAAATCAATATTTTTTTCCTTCCTTAAAAACAAGATTAACAAAAATAATAATTATGGTGAAACCATACCATGTTAAAACTACATTATATAGTGATATTTCCTTAAAAATTGTGAAACTTGTTCCCCTCATGCTACCCGGGACTAATCATTTTACACTGATCATGTTAATAACCACACAGACTTGATTCATATGGAGTACGAGTATTATATTGAAATCAACAAGCTAACCATACACTTTCTTTAATGCATTTCATCCAATGTTTATTAATTATAAAAGTATCTAGTGATGATGATATCACAGTCTGGTAATGTATCACTGAATGTCAGTACTCCTATAGTGAGTAGTGCTTGTAATAACTGTCAGACATTGGTGATTCAGGGCTGGAAATTGTAACAAGACTGCCAATGCTCAGGAATAGACCTCTGTGTCAACAAAGTTAGTCATTGGTCCTTAACAACAAATATTAATATATGGTTATTCTTTACTCTTTACTTTGTCCCATCATCATTGAAGTACTTCTTTTAAAATTAAATATCAATTAAATAAAAATGTTGCTTCACCAAATAAAAAGAGCATTTAAGCATAAAAAAATGAATATAGTATGAGTATATTTTTCATACATCATCATAAAATGTCTACTTGCACCACATACTATGAATAATGCACATCTGATGTACAAAAAATAAATATGAGGTGACGAATGAATGATTCTGCATGATAACAGTGTAATTACCTTACCACAGTTACCAGTAATTATTTGGCTGTGTAATTACCTCACCACACTTACCAGTAATTACTTGTCTGTGTAATTACCTTACCACACTTACCAGTAATTACTTATCTGTGTAATTACACATTCATGATAAATACATGTAGGTTCTATATAGACATAAAGACATAAGTCTAAAATCATTAAAATGCTTGAAAACAATCTATCAGAGCACTACTCTGTACAACATAATTCTGTTTGCATAGAATTTCTGAGAATCCACATATTACACAACACCATTCACCAGCACTGTCTTTGGCTGATTAGATGAACAACAATAATTTGGTTAGAGGGACAACATTTTGGCAAAGTTAGAGGGATTCCTGATAGTTTCTGCTCTCCCAGAGAGGCCTTGGCACTAATCATTGAAAGACTTGTATATAGTGGCTTGTGTTTGGGATGAGTCCAGCACTAACAGCCTCCTTCTGTGTCCTCTCCCTGCAGCTCCAGTCCACCAACACTGAGAATGCGTACAACACACATCACTTCTTCTTACTTAAATGGTTTGGTGCATCAGCAAACATAAACTTCAGTTTGTAGGCCTCCGCTAACAGTTCACCTATCTCCTCATTCTGCCAGTGGTGGGTTGGAAGGTTTTGAAGAAACATAAGAATTCCCTAAAAATAAGATCATGATATATATGAAGTATAAATTTTCCCAAAGAGTTTCTTTTAAAAGTATATTGTTGAGAGCATAATCTTACGTCTCCAAAATGAGTTATTTTTCACTGTTATCATAAAACTATGTGGCTAAGAAAGTTTAATTTGTAGAGAATACCCAATTCTTATAAGTCAACATGCTAAAAATGTATGCTTAAGCCATAGCTTGAGAGTTAAACTCTTGTTTATTGTTACCTGAAAATCTTGCTCTCTGAGAACATCCTGGGTAAACCTGACTAGAAATGCAGCACAGACATAGAGGTGGAAATCAGCAAATCCATTCTGCTCAGCCTGAAATGTACATCATTAGGACTGCTGACTGTATAATCTTATCTATTATGATCTCAGAATTTTATGATCTACCACCATTATTCATTTACGGTGTAACAATTTATCACTTTGCACAAATTAAACATTCTAGTTCATTTGTTCTAGAGAAAGTCAGGAGTCTCATCTTATGTGCCAAGTAATGTTGGAATCTGACAAGTACTATAAGAGAGGTAGCTTTTTAAAGTATTTTACGACAATGTCTATTTTTAGTATCCACAACAACAACTGTTAATTGAAATCAAACACTGATACACAGAATTATGCATCTCAGTATTTTCTACTCATTTTAGAAAAATCGTTTACAGATGGACATGCAGGCCAACGCCTTACTAGTGCATATGTTCCATTGGTCCCTGACCAGTAGAGCTAAACTGGAAACTTAAAATAAACAATTGTGTTTCCTAAATAAATTTACAGACTACTTAAAATGCACGTGTGCTCTTAATATTTTTGCTTTAAATATAATTTTGTGCTAGTGATTGTTCTGAGTTATGGAAAGCTTGTTGACAGAATTAAGGCAACAAGGGAGGAGAGCAGGGGTCAAACAGTCAATATCATCTACATCATCATTCTTACCTGATATGTGTCCCAAAGTCGAATTGTGCACCTAAGGGGGATTTCACGCATCAGTATGTTGTTCATCCACCTGAACGAGAACTGAAGGAATTCCACACAGTGCTCCTCCAAATGTTTGTACAAAGGAACTGTTAAAAAATTAACTTAAAAATTACACAGCTTTATACACAGTAAAGGTATATTCATCAGTCATTAATCTCTTCCTTACAAAGGATTTTGCAATGCACATACATGTCTGTAGTACATAAATGAACCCTCTAAATTACCAGAGGCCTCTGGGCCACAATATCCACTTCAGTCACTTTGGGCCTGCCATTTTCAGAAGAAAACTTTAAAGCAATATGGGCTACATGTATGACATTGGAAAATTTTGTTAAAAAATTGTCATTAACTATTTCAATGACAGAAAAATAAAACATTTATAAGCTTCTTTTGTTCATATTTGCGATGGAATATTTTTTGTAAGCTTTTATTGAAGCAAAATTAAATTACTGTCGTCCTGTACAATAATGATTTCTTATATTATACTGTTTATTAGGTCGTACAGAAATATTTTTTCCGAGACGTTTTCTAAATTTTTGGACTTATTTGTCATAAGGGTTTAAATTACATTCAAATTAATCATAATAGCATATTTTACCTGCAAAATAAAATTTTCAAAAATGCAGCTCATATTGCATTAAAATGATTTCCCCCTCTTTGTTGTCAAGAATAATGTTGACCCCCTAAATATGACCCCACCCTATACCATGGGATGGATCAAGACCTCACCAAACCTGAATCGTCAAAACATGAGGATGCTTCAATATCAGTAAGACAAACATAGCTTTGCTGTTCTGGAATGTATTATGTAATACCTGATCCCTGTTTTAGCTCCATCTTAAGCCCAGGGTCCATGACTGAATTAAACAAGAAGTCCAAGGGACACATTGCTCACCTGAGCACATTCAAAAGAAGAGAAGAAATCTGTTTAGTATTGAAAAGGTTAAATATGTAGGTGATAACAAATAACTATCGTGGAGGGGGTGGGGGCTAGATTTATTCACATTTGAATCTAACTGAGGATACTTTCAAATTTCTTTAACTAATCATAGCTTTAATATTTTTATTCATTTGTTAAATCTTCTACTGTGGCCCATCCTATCCTTAGGCAAATGATGTGAACAAATTCAAGTACAAATACAGTGGACCTTCAGATATCCGGACGCTTCAGTATCCAGACAATTTTTCATCAGAACGGAATTTCTTAACATTATTTTGTCTTGTGTAACTGGTAATTCAGATATCCAGATGCTTCACATATCTGGACAAATTGACTGGGAACCAAAGCATCTGGATAAATGAGGCTCCTATGTACTTTAACTGAGGATGCTTCTGAGTTAATTAACTAATCATGATTTGCTTTTCTAGGTTAGAAGATTTTAACGAATTATCCTACATAATTATGTAAAATCACCAATACTAAGGCCCCTTCCTACCCATAGTGGGCATGATTTGAACAATCTTGAGTGTAACCTACTTGAGGATTTTTTTGTATACATTTTTATGTAAAATTTCTATCACTCAATATGGCCTTGTCCTTCCCCCAAGGTGTCATCATTTGACAAAGTTTGAATCTTAATTACCTGAGGATGCTTCCATATAAATTTCATCAATCTTGGCTATACTCTACTTGAGGAGGAAATTCCTTTATATTTCTATGCAATACTTCTATAGTCTATTGTGGCCTCACCCTACCTCTGGGGATCACAATTTGAAGACAATATGAATCTACATTATCTGTGGATGCTTCTTTATAAATATCACTGATGATGCCATTAATTTTTCACTTATTCATAATTATCTCGCCTTAGAAGAGGAAGTGGCCCTTTATTTGAACAAACTTGAATCCCCTTTACCCAAGGGTACTCTGTGACAAGTTTTTATGACATCTGCCCAGTAATTCTTGAGGAGATGATGACAATGTGAAAAGTTAATGTCAACACCAATGACAACAACCACAGACAGCAGAAAAAAATTGATCAGAAAATCTCATTTAAGCATTCAGCTCAGGTGAGCTGAAAACAAGACACTGTTGAGATGATGACCTTCTCAAAGGGTCCCCCTGTTTGCTAAATGATGGATTCTTTATCCAAAAAGATTCTATAGGTAAGTTTGAGCCAGATGGGACCAAAAGAGCTCACATTTTGACTTCTCAAAACTCTCATTAAGTCTGTTTACCATCAATTCTCTTGATGAGTTCCTTCAGAGCATTCACTTTCATCTGAATGCCTGGCTGAGCAAATGTGTAATTGTCCTGTATGCCATCTAGGAGCCGAGAGGTGCACCAGAAACTGTCTGCTTCTATTATGTTTAAAGTCTCTTGAGGAAGTTGACACAGATCAAAGTTTTCTGATTCCACATCTACAAGAACATGAAGAAATATTTAAAGTAAGGCAAATAAATTGCAGATGTCTAAAAGCCCTGATCTGCTTTTGAGACATTCCCAGATTAAGGTGTCTGCCTTCAAATCTCCAATGAAAAAAAAATCCAAACATCCTATTGTTGGTAAGTCTATTCTAGATTAATTCACTTTACAGTATTACATGATTCCATCTGTTGTAATATTTTCATTTAAGGCTTAATAGCTTTGTTGTTCTTGAGAAGAAAATTTTTCCTATATATTTCTATCTAAAACTTTGATCACCCAAAATGCCCCCCACCCTACCCTAGGGGTCATGATTTAAATTACTTTCACTCTATGCTATCTAATAATGCTTCCATTTAATTATTACCATGACATCATGGCTGTACTGTTCTTGAGAAAAAGATATTTAAGGATATTTCCTGTATATTTCTAGGAAAACTTTGATCGCCAATTGTGGCCCCATCCTATCCCTGGGGGTCATGATTTGGACAAATTTGAATCTACACTATTCAAGACTGATTCCACCTGAGTTTCATCTTTCTTGGTCTAGTTGTTCTTGAAAAGATTTTCAAATGATGCATTGAGATATCCAAGTCAGCCATTTATTATCTGTCAAAGTAAGCCCTTTTTATGCCCATGTAATCAAAGATTCAGGGGTACAGTTACAGTTGTATATAGTTTTTGTCCTGTCCATCAATCTGGCTGTCTGTTTGTCAACAAAAATTTAACATTGCTCGTAATTTTTGAGTGGAAGGGTTACGGCTTTCATATTTTACAGGTGTATTCCTTGTGACAAGACCTTTCTTCGGGTACCACCATATTTGACCTCTTGACCTTGGAGTTTGAACCACTTTCACTTAAAAAAAAAACAAGCTTAAACCTTCAAGCTATTTCCATCCTCCTATGATATCATTGGTTTTATTTTTGCAAAAACTGTTATTAATTTTAATTCATGTGCAATAGAACAATATCTTTTGGAAGAAAGCTTTTCAGTTGGTGTAATGACAAATATTGCTAAGTAAGAGAATATAGAGGATGTATATTTTCTTTATTTAATCAATTATTCAATCTTGTATTTCAAAACTTTCAGCATCAGAATTAAGCATTTGAACCAAATTTTACATGATTTTGGTAATTTTTGTAATAACAAAAAATGTATGATTTTTTTATGTGGACATGTACTTCTGTTTTTTATGTCTCCCATCTTTAATAATATTGCAACCTTTACATTTTTTGAAAAATTGGCAAATTTAAATCAAACAAAAATTAATGCAGTTTCTGTACTTTGAAGTTATATTGATTACAAGAGGCCCATGGGCCACAATGCTCACCTGAATAACTTTGATTTACACTACCTCAGGATGCTTTAACATAAGTTCAGCTTTTCTGGTCCAGTGGTTATTCTCCCATGGGTCATGATTTGAATGAATTTAAATCTATGCTACCTGAGGATGCTTCCATATAAATATCACTAATCTAATTTGAGGGATTTGGAAATATTTTTAGAAAGGATAGGAATTCATATGGATGGGGAATCATGATATATGTCTCTAACTCTCTAAAAGTTACTCGATGGGAAGATTTAGAACCACGAAGCATAGAGAGTATTTAGATTGAAATTGAACAACCAAACAATAATTTATTCATTTGTTGTGTTTATCGTCCACCAAACTCGAGCAATGATTTTTGGGGGAAATTTTCATGGTCCATTGAAAGAATAAGTGATATGTCAAACAAAATTATAATACTTGGGGATCTTAATGTAGATTTTCTTCAAATAAATCCAAATCATGAAATTTATAATATCATGAACATGGCTGGGCTTTTAAACGTAATAAACGAACCTACGAGAGTAACACAAGTTACAAAAACTCTGATAGACCCTATTATTAGTCGCGAAATATTTATGTTCGATTCAGGTACATTAATGGTTGACACAAATATCAGTGACCACAAAGCTACGTATATATATGTGAAACAAAATTACTGTAACAATTCTTCATACAAACGTAAAGTATGGAGCTATAAAGAAGCAAATTTAGAAGAACTTAATATTTTAATAAACAACTTTGATTGGGAAAGCATTATTTCAAAATCAACTGATATTGAAACCGCAACAACAAACTTTACACAACAATTTATGCTAATTATACGCAAATGTATACCCGAAAAAACTTTTACAATAAGACCAAACGACAAACCATGGATGGATTCATTATTAAGAACAGCTATACGACTTAGGAATAGATTAAGAAATAAAGCACAGAAGACCAAGAAAGAATCAGATAAAGAAGAATTTCGGAAAGCTAGAAATAAAGTAAATAATATGAAAAAATATGCCAGAGCAAATTACTACGACAACACTGATTCTCATTTAAACGACGCAAATAAAAATAATAACAAGTTGTACTGGAAATTACTAAAAGATGTCTTTCACACTAAAACTTCATCCGAAATACCCCCTATTAAACAGTTGAATGAGAATGGTGATCCTATATACGCATTTTCCGATAAAGAGAAAATTGAATTACTAAATAACTTTTTTACATCCATCTCTGATATAAAAGATGAAGAATATGAGCTACCTGATTTTGAGTCCAAAAATGAAGAAAAATCTTGTGACGTAAATATCCAAGAAAGCGAGATTATTGATGTTATTTCTATCCTGCCCGTAAATAAAGCTGTGGGCCCTGATTGTATCAGCCACAAAATGTTAAAATCTTGTAAAGTATCCATAGCTAAGCCACTTTGTCTGTTATTTAATAAATCTCTTAGACTCAAAGTTTATCCTGAAAGTTGGAAACTAGCACATGTCCTTCCATTATTTAAAAAAGATGACCCATCAGTCACTTCAAATTATAGACCTGTATCTCTTTTGAGTTGTGTAAGTAAAATATTTGAGAGAGTTGTATTCAAACATGTATATAATTTTTTTCACACAAATAATTTGTTCTAGAAATATCAGGCAGGTTTTCTGCCTGGTCACTCAACTGTGTACCAACTTTTAGAAACATATCATACTATTGTAAAATGTATTGATGAAGGGCAACATTGTTGTATGGTTTTTTGTGATTTATCAAAAGCTTTTGATAGGGTTTGGCATAGGGGTTTGATTTATAAATTAAAAATGTATGGTATCTCCGGTAATATGTTAGAATGGTTGGAAAGTTACTTGTACAATAGAAAACAAAAAGTTATGTATAAAAATTTATTTTCTTCTGTGAAAAATGTGCATGCTGGGGTACCCCAGGGCTCTGTCCTTGGCCCTCTTTTATTTTTGATATATGTAAATGATGTAGCCGAAAACATGATAACTGTTTGCAGACTATCTGCAGACGATAATTCTTTACAAAAAAGCTCGAGTGACGTGCGTCTTATTGAACATCATCTAAATCATGACTGAAAAATTCTGGATGAATGGTCCAGAAAATGGTTATTGAAATTTAATCCAAGTAAAACAAAAGTATTATTTTTCAGCTTAAAAAATACAAACCAGTTACCTGAATTATTTTTTGAAGACTGTCAGTTAGAATATGTATCACAACATAAACATCTAGGTGTTATTTTCTCAACTAAATTAGGTTGGTCAGATTACATTGATAGTATTGTCAGTAAAGGCTACAAAAAACTAGGATTTCTCAAAAAACTTAAATTTTCAGTGTCTAGAGATACGTTATCCAAACTTTACATTTCCTTTATTCGACCACAACTTGAGTATGCATCTGAAGTTTGGTCAGGCTGTTCGCTGGCAGATATTGATAAACTTGAAAAGCTTCAACTGACAGCTGCAAGAATAGTGACTGGTCTTTCAGTATTAGCATCAAGAAATTCGTTGTATATTGAAACAGGTTGGGAACCTCTTATAGTAAGAAGAGACAAAGCCAAACTTTTAACAATGTTTAAAATCCACAATAACCTTGCTCCTGATTACCTAAAAAACATTGTACCGATGGTTAGAAACACTGTTTCAAATTACAATACTCGAAATTCATTTGATTATTCTTTACCTAAATGCAGGCTTGAATTATACAACAAATCATTTGTCCCCGATACTGTGCGCAAATGGAATTCACTGAGCAACGAAACAAGGGAAATAACCTCAATAGGAAGTTTTAAAAAAAATTGAGTAATAATAAAGATAAGCCTCCCAAGTACTTTTCATATTGTAGAAGGTATCTGAACATTTTATATACAAAATTAAGACACAATTGTATTTTAAATAATGATCTTATAGATGTAATATCATAAGTAATCCAAATTGTTCTTGTGGTATGAAGGAGGATAGTCATCATTTTTTCTTTGTAAAAAATATTTTGAACCTAGACGCTTAATGATGAATGCACTACTAGTAACTATAATAATGTAAAAATGATTAATGTGCAATTAAAATGAAAAAATATTCGGTGTTGTTCAAAAATTTATTCAGGAATCAGGTCGTTTTAATTAACACTGAATTGTATTATCTCTATTGAAATTATTATATTTTTATAATATCAACACTGTATTTATTATCACCATTATTAATAATTGATATTATTTCCTTATTCATAAAACAATTGTCTTTGTTCTTCTATGTACATGTATATATTATTGTAAAACTTTGTAAATGTTGTATGGCTATTCAGATTTTATGTATGGGAGAGGACTATCTAAGTTGCTAGAACTTGTGTCCGATCCCTTTGACATATTGTCAATAAAATATGCTCAAAACAAAACTAATCTTAGCTATAATGTTCTTGAGAAGATTTTTAAAGATTTTTCCTATATATTTCAATATAAAACTTGGGATTCCCTATAATGGCTTGCCCTACCTTCAGGGGTCATGATTTGAACAATTTAGAATCTACAGTATACCCTACGATGCTTCCACTTAAATTTCAGCTTTTCTGGCCCAGTGGTTCTTGAGAAGAAGATTTTTAAAGATGATTCCAATATATTTCAATGTAAAACCTGGATTCCCTATTGTGACCCTGCCAGGGGTCTTGATTTGAACAATTTAGATTCTACACTACCCCAGGATGTTTCCACATATTAAGTAGCTTTTCTGGTCCAGTGGTTCTGAAGGAGAAGATATTTTAATGACCCCACTCTATTTTTGTCTTTTCTTGATCATCTCCCCTTGTAAGGAGATTTGGTCCTTCATTTTAACAATTTAAACTCCCCTTCACCCTAGGATGCTTTGTACCAAATTTGGTTGAATTGGCCATGGGGTTTTCGTAAAGATGTTGAAAAAGTGAAAAGTTTTACAAAAAGACAAATGGATGGAGGATGGACAACAGGTAATCAGAATACCTGGTATCTGTCTGTAAACTTTTCATATTTTAAGCTTCTTCTCATGAACCACCAGGCCAATTCAACCAATATAAGTATTATTACCAGGTGAAGTAAAAACTTCATAAAACTTGAATAAAATGGAGCATTATTTTTTTATCATTGATCCTGGGACATATGTATGAAAATGCAGCTCTGAAATCTGGACTCTCCTGGTACAATGAACTTACTAAAAACAATGTCTATGCATCTCTGATCAAAATAGGGCAAAGAAATACTACAAGAAATGTACTCCATAAACTTAACCAGGGATACAGAAGCCAAGGGTATTACATAAGCTACCCCAGCTTTGTAGCACAGAGCTTATAGTCAAAATGACAGTTTAACAGACGAAAGACAAATTTGAATTACAAAAGCTTGAGTACTTTAATTAGAGGCTCAAGTAAGCTAAAGGGTAGAGCATAATTAAACTATAATTGTGGTATCAACTTAATCATCTACTTTACTGACAGTTTGCCTCTTCAAACTAGAACTGTCCAAATGGGACAAAATACCCCCAGCTGGGTTTTTCTGAGGTGCTAAATCATGAATATTTTATGGATCTAAGAGAAGAGACAAATGCTAAAACATCTTTATTGCAAATGTAATTGCTCATTATATTTTTTATAAATGAAACGAAGGAGCAACCTAATAAAAAAAATAGACTAAATATACGGACCAGACATGATTTATGAACTTTTTCTGTCAGTGACCTTGAACTTGCATAAATGACCTTGGTTCAAAGTCATAACACAACCTCAGGTCATAAGGTTAAGTAGATTCAAGTTTTTCCATAATAAAGATATGTAACAAACATGAATTATACAATTTTTCTTTCAGTGACCTTGAACTTGCACAGATGACCTTGAGTCAAAGTCATGACACACCCTTAGGTCATGAGCAATCTTTGTGTGAAATGAGAACCTACTAAGTTTATCCATAAGAAATATATGGTCCGGACACGAATTATGAGATTTTTCTTCCAGTGACCTTGAACTTCCCCAATGACCTTGGGTCAAGGTAATGACACACCCTTGGGTCATGAGCAATCTTTGTGTGAAATGAGAACCTACCAAGTTTATCCATAAGAAAGATGTGCACCAGACACAAATTATGAAATTTTCTTCCAGTGACCTTGAACTTCCCCAAATGACCTTGGGTCAAGGTCATGACACACCCTTGGACCATGGGCAATCTTTGTGTGGAGTAGTAGATTCTAATGTTCCTCCACTAGAAAGATATGGACCGGACACGTTTGCACAGACAGATGGACAAGCTGATTCCTATATACCCCCCAAACTTTGTTTGCGGGGGGTATAAATATAAATTCAAACTCATGTCATACACATACTGTACTGCAGCATAGAAATAGCAATTTTAGACATTGACATTGGTCTCATCTCACGCTGCAAGTAAACACAGTACTTGAGTGGTGTATAATGCTACAACTGGGTGACATAAAGTCTTTCTTACCATTGTCTATAAACTCTGACAGAAACACAACAAAGAATGGAGTGACTAGATCATTGATTCCCTGTACATAGCCACTGGCAGGGTGTCGGATAGCCCAGATGTAAAGGATGCGCTCAAATATCTAAAATACACAATGTAATAGTGTCACTCAAATATCTAAAATACACATACAATATAAAAGTATCATTCAAACTCTGTACCCTATTTATTTGGTTTACTTTGTTATGAGCTGGAAAAGATTTACAATGTGAGTTTATTACAGTGCAATGCATGCAGACAACGAGGAATCAATCCAGGTCAAACAACATAGTTATTGCCCACATAACACTTTAATATTTATTAATACACATACAAAAAACCCTCTATACTCCTATTAATTCATCAGTGATTTTAATGGAGCAGCCAGGAATTTAGGCATTTGTTTCTTTGTTTATAAAACCCTTCTTATCAAAAAATAAAACATTTATATATATATACACAACTATACTATGTTAAATCATTTTTATTAAAACTAATTCTGTAAATGAGGCATAAAGATTGAAATCTATAAAGAAAATACTTTGTTAACTTTCATATATATATTATAGCAATACAGTTGAAAATATGGCAGCATATAGGGATCTATAATTTTCATGCAATATCCAGTCTTAAGAGCATCCCTAAACAGAAGGCCCTTGGACCACATCACTCACCTGAGTACTTTGAATAGAGAAAAGCAGAAATTAATTCAGTATATGTGGTACCAACTCATGCCCCCCCCCTCACTTACATTATCTGGGGATGCTCTCATACTTCTTTGGCCACTCAGGGCTTTAGAAATTTTTTCATTGATAAATTTGATCTATTTTGGTTCCAACATGATTTGAAAAAAAAAAAAACCAACTTCAATCTAACATTAAGTTTTAACTTTTTTGGCTCAGTAGTTCTTGAGAAGATTTTAAAAAGACGTGATTAAATTTTTATTTTTTCTTATATATCCCCTTGAAAGAGGCACGGCATCTACACAAAAATGCTTTTTGACAAGTATGGTTGATTTTAGCCCAGTCAGAAGTCAAAAAGTGAGATAACTTCATAGACAAAACACCATACCAGACAGCTAGACCCCTTACACTATAGATGCTCAATATGTTTTATTTCCACTGAGGAAGAGTTATGGTTCTCAGTGTGCTCTTTAGTGAAAAAGTCAGAGAAAATTTACAAATCTTGTGGGATTTATGAAACAAATGCTATATAAACTTGTAAACAATAGTTGAAAGTTGATGAAGAAATCCCAACAAAAATAATATTAAATTCAAATGAAACATTTTATTGTTGTGGACTTTATATGCATCAAAAGGAAAAATGACAATGAATGAATGATATCAATTTATACCTATTTTTGATCATATTCTTCTATTTATCAGATGGTACATCTATACAATGCACATCCCTTTGAAATGACTTTTTTTTTAATTCATGGGTGATATATTTAGGGCTCTCATTCTCTTACTTATGTCTATTAGTTCTTCTATTCTTTAATTGGAATTACAAACACAATTAACGGCATACTTGCCAACCTCCAGCATGTAAAAATCTGCTCATGACCAGATTTGGAAAGTAAAAAATCTGGTCATAATGCGTAACGACATTCACGACATATTTACCATGATTAAATTTTATACATATATATACAAAGTATTTGTGTATTGAGAATTCTTTTATTGAAAAAGGATTTAATTTACTATGACAAAAATTCATACATAATTTGATTTAAGGCCAGAAAAAATTAATCTTTAGATTCTCATCCCCGCCCGCCCCTCTCAAAGTCTCCCGCCCTGGCGTTTTTTATTTTGATTTTTTGGTGTTAATAAAGGCATTTTCATGTATTTTGATTCAGTTAGAATTTGGGTGAATTTTAAGAGTTATCTCCCGTCTGTATTAAAAGTCGCGTGTCGCTATTTATAGCAAAAGAGACGTGAAGAATGGAGAAAAATCGGCAATAAAAGCAGTTTAAATATGTAAGGAAAAGATTATTTGTCAGTATAGAGAAGGCAGAGAAAAAATAATAGCATAAACACATCTAGATACCATCACTGGCATGAGCAAGTTTTTTAAAGATTTTTTAAAACTAAGTATTAAAATAGACATGGAAAATGACACCTGGTCAAGTTTTTTGATCTCCAACTGTGTGTGATTTTGATTTGATAAAAAAAATAAAACAGCGTAGGCAGACTTTAGAGAATGTTTAGTGTTAAGAAAATGTTAAATCTTAAAACTGTTCAGGCCTAGGTTTTTTCGGTAGGATATTTTATTAATATTTTATAGATTTTGTAAACATGACCTATTTTATTGTCGAAAATGTCAAGTCTCAAGAACGATCCAATTTTTTGAGGAAGGTGGAAATATATGATATTTTACAGAAAACAGAGGGATTTGTAGGTAAAACTAAAGGGTATTTAGGGAAAGGCTGATTAGAAGTCATGCATACAACATTTATTGGTATCAGAACCCCACTGTAATGTTCATATCTTAAAATAGTCATTCAGATTTAATGTTTTCCCACGTTTAGGAATTTGCTATACCAGCAGAATGTTATATGTTAAATACAAATTCAGTAATTGATGTTGACAGTTTCAGCCACGCCGATTTGTGTAATCATTTAGTTATGTAGTTTAGAATTAAAGCGTTAAACCGAGCAGACGTGTTTTCTGTTACAAGTGTCTAGAACACGGACAGTACACCCACCTCATTTTGTTTTGCGGATGCCGTATATGTGTACTTGATAATTTGTTAATTAACAATAAATATCTAATAATTTAAGCAAGAATTGTCTTTAAATATTTAAAAGAATATGAAAAAATAAAATCTATTCATATTAATTGGCATTGACATAATGAAAAAATGTGTATAAGAGTCCATGTTCTGTTGATACTTACAATTTAAGAATTATAAAAAATAAAATCCGCCCACCCGCCCCTATTTTTTTAGCAAATTAGGATGAGAATCTAAAGATTAATTTTACCTGGCCTAATTTACATGTTAAAAATGAGAATTGAAGGTTTCATATTTCAGTATTGACCTGAAGTAAGTGTGCATTTTTTTTTTTTTTTTTAAAAAAAGCCTTTTCAGTTTCTGCTAAATTTGTATACCAATTTCAGTTTTGAAGTTATTTTTCCTCTCTGTTAATTAATCAACTACTACAACATGTTTTAAATGTGAAGTTAGGCCTACACTGTCTTCGATCACTTTATTTTATCTAGAATGAAAGTTTTTTTTTTTTTTTTCCAAGATTCCTTGATATGTACATAAATGTCGTTTCTCAGAGACATGTATTTGGTTCAATTTGTTCCTGTTGGCCCTGATAACGATCTACTTCTATCGAAAGTCATTTTAATTGACTTCAAACATTGATTTTGTCAAAACAACACCAGTTAATTGTGTACACCTGCACTGATAATTAATCCATCGGCATTGTTTACGTAGATCTAAGCTTGGGTTGTAACTGGAAGTTAAAAGTGCAACCTAATTTACGAACCAAATCCGGAAATCGGGAGATTTTCGGGTTGTTCGGCAAAAATCGGGTGATAAGCATGACCCGCCGGGTCATAAAAAATAATCAGGTTACGGGTTGAAAAATCGGGTGTGACCCGACGAAATCGGGTGAGTTGGCAACTATGATTAACGGTAACATTAAAATTGGTTTGAGATTAACGTTTAATTTGGAATTATCCGCATTATAATGCCAAACCAGTCAGATGACCAAACGCACCTCTAATTTGAAGAGTTCCATTACCAAACACACCTCTAATTTGAAGAGTTCCAGTAATGGAAATCAAACATATTGAGCCTTCACCTCAGATGATTGTAGGTTGACTTATAGCAGAATTTACAGAATTCCAAAGACATTTCAACTAGCAAATATAGTAATTTTATTGTTAGTGCTTTATTAATCAGACTTGCACCAATATGCCAAGAAACACACATACTCCTTGCATAAATTCTTCTCAGGGTAATACCCTCAACAGATACATATACTTACTTCTTGAACAACTTTTTGTTGGAAAAGATGAGCTAGAGAAGTCATTCTTGGGATGTCTTTGAGAATCTGAAAATTAACAATTACATGTACTTTTTTCAAAAGCAACAACACAAAATCTACAACTAGCTGCGAAGGGACATAGGTATTCCTGTACCCGTCAGAATCTCAGTCCTTGACAAAAACCTATTATCTCCTTTTTCACAACTGACAACACACAAAACATTTACAAATACTGCTGGAAATATAAACAGGGATGTTTAAAATCCATCTGGTAGTATTTCACTAACTCTTTATTATTTATATCCCCTATTATATGATGCTTGTCCCATGCTATTTGTGCAGAAGTATTTGTTAATGTTTTCCAAAATATCTATTAAGCTTCATCCACATTCTAGGAAAGCTAGTCTTGGAATGCTGGGTGACAACTTGGCATGCTGGGTAATTACATGTACAATTATTTACTCACTTCCTGTACCAGTTTTTGTTGAAATATAGCCACTAGTGGATTCATTCGAGGAATGTCTATATGAATCTGTAATTTATCATAATGAAACTACACTCAATGTTCAATTTGTGCAGACTTTTTTGTATAGTTTTGTTGCTTATAACAAGCATGCTTATGTAAAAACATTTCACTAACAACTAAGGAAGTGATTTTACTCTATTTTTGAAAAAGAAAAGATACACAAAAAGAAAGGGTACACTTTCATTTTCATGATTAAAAATGTCTTAATATTTTAAATCATCAGAATTTAAACAAATAATGAAATGATCCCTATTAAAACAGAGGTGTGTAAAAAAATTAAGCTTAATCAGAACATTATATCATTATGTTTAAAAAATCAAAGGGTACCCTTGTAACTGAAACAGAAACAACAAGAAGTCTGTGAGCCAATGCTCACTAGTAATGCCCCTGCTCTGATGTGAATATGTACACTATCATGTGAATATACACAAGTGCAGTTACGGGCAGATGCACCAATATCATAAGTAGGAAGTTGAAATCAGATTCAAACAAAAATGTCTCCCACCATATGGCATGCCTCAGCAAAGTATGTGCTAAAATTTCAAGCATCTGCAATAAGGAGTTGCTGAGAAAACTTTGACGAAAATTTGTTATGTATGGTGCGGTCAGACGTACAGATTAACAGGAAGTTGCCATCAGATTTAAACAAAAATGAATACCACCATATGGCATTGCCATAGTATTTTACTAGAAAATATATTTAATTTAGAAACTTATTTGGAAAAAATTATTGAAACTACAAATTTAAAAGACATACCCTTGCACTTTCATAAAGTAATGAGAATGAACCTGCTCAAAATATTTTAACCCTGGTCACTCATATGGAAAATGTAGGTCAGATCCAGCATCCAAAGCAAGCCTGGTAGTGTGCATCTGAGATGCATCATCAATGTAAGTTTGGTCAGAGTCAAAAAAGAAGGTCACTGTGACCTACCTTTCAGACAACATGACATGAGATCCTTGGATGCATCAATAACAAGATTTAATGATTCTATGGTCATAACAGAAAATTGCAAAACATAACATTATTGGAATTTTGAGGCAAACTTGAGACAATGCCCTTCACTTCAGGATAATGCTATGAACAATTTTTAATCTACCCATAACCTTCTGCTCAACATATCTAAAAATTGTTTTAACCCAAGGTTGATTTGTGCCAAGTTTGGTCAGAGATGGGCTCAGATGTTTTCATTCAGATGCCAAAAATGTGAAGAATTTACAGAAGGATGGAAATTTGATGATTTGATAAACTCACATGAACTTTCAGCTAGATATATTCAATCATTTTAATGCACATTCTACCATTATTATTGCCAAGATGAAAGAATTTTCCCTCTGGTGTTAACTTGAATAGCATAATCAAGACATGGTGACCTAATTTGTTTCTCTATTGAGGAAACGATCACCGCATATTAGCGATCTTAGCAGAATAGAAATAAAGTCCTTGTTGTCATGAATGATGCAGGATAACCTCCTCAGTCTCGAAATGTTTTTGAAATATAATTCGAGACTGAGGAGGTTATCCTGCAACATTCACGAAAACGCGGACTTTATTTCTTAAGTAGTATACAGACCAGCAGATAATTAGGCCATAGGAACTTTGTAGGAAAGGGTTTTAATAAACTTTTTCATGTTAAAAAAGAAAACATTTCTACTATGTAAAAACTGATCCCACACTGTGTCCCCAATCATACCCCAAGGAGTTCTGATTTAAACAATCTTGAATCTACACTACCTGAGGATGCTTCCATATAAATATCATCAATCATGGCTTTGTTGTTCTTGAGAAAAAAGTTTTTAAAGAGTTTTCCTATGTATTTCTTAGTAAAACTTTGATGGTCCATTACGGTCCAACCCTACCCCCAGGGGTCATGATATGAACAAAACTGAACTAACACTACCTAAGACGTTTCCATATAAATATCACCAATCATGGCTTTGCTGATCTTGAGAAGAAGATTTTTGAAAGATTTTTTAAAAGATTTCTCCTACATGTATATATTCTTTTGTAAAACTTTGATTGTCCATCGTGGCCCCACCCTAATCCCGGGGTCATGATTTGAACAAACTTGAATTAACACTACCTGAGGATGTTTCCATATTAATATCACCAATCATGGCTTCACTGATCTTTAGAAGAAGATTTTTAAGAGATTTTCCCTATATATTCCTATCAGGCTATGTAAATTTTAGATCGTCCCTTGTGGCCCCATCCTACTCCTGGGGGTCATGATTTGAACAAAGTTGAGTCTACTTCACCTGAGGATGATTCTACATGAGTTTCATCTTTCCTGGCCCAGTGGTTCAGGGGTAGAATATTTTTTTAAAGATTTTTCCTTTATTTTCCTATGTAAAACTTTGATTTGCTGTGGTTAAATCATTTTTTATACGTACAGTTAGAGATTAGTTGAGTATATTGGATTGTATGAGCAGAGCTGAGTGGTAAACTACTTCTGTTAAGTTAACCTGTCTAATCCAGACACCAATAGTTCAATTGGTCAGAGTAGACAACTTTCTAGATTAAACAACATTAAGAAATAATGACAATTTATAACTAGTGCTAATTGTAACGGGGACCGTTATAGATGTTCCCCAAACGCTCCCAAAATCCCTTTTTGTGCCTAATTACTGTAAGATATTTTAAAAAATATGAACAGTATTAAAGGATTTCATCAAAGAATGATAAAAGGTATAATGATATCAACTATAAGTCATTTAACGCACTGTATGCGTACGCACGTGCATGTACATGCAAGATGATCATAGCATGTTGTCTAAACAATTAACATATCTATATATCCTGAGAATAAATTAAAAAATTCTTTACAATATACATTTTAATGATTTTTTTTTTTTAATATTGGTCATTTTGTGTATTTCCTGCGCGCACGTGCATGAATGAATGTCCCTGCATTCAATTTTGATAGTACCATTATGTAGAAATCCATTATACTTATTCATATTCTAAATTTTATCCCGTTTCGTTGAAAACTAAGAAAGTTACAGACATCTAAATTTTCAGCCAATCAGATTGCAGCACACGTGCATGCGCATGCTTTTCATGATAATTCTTATATACCATGTTGTAGATCTTTATAATGTATAACCATGTTCGAAATTTCAAAGGATTTTGTCGAAAAACAAGGAAGATATTGAGACTTTAGTTTCAGCCAATCAGAGCGAAGCGCACGTGCATGCGCATGAGATCTTGCTATTTTGACCATGTCTTCTAGTCTATGCTTCTAATATATCTTTATATTATAAGTTTCAAAACATTTCATAAAAAATTTAAATAGTTACGTCTATCTCAATTATATTGGACATTTCTGGTGTTGCACGTGCGCGCTCTTGCAAGCACACGTGCATGTACATTCTTTCATAATAATTCTTTTGTATCAGGCTGTAGATCTCCCTAATGTATGACTATATTCAAAATTTCAAAGGATTCTATCAAAAAACAAGAAAGATATTGAGACTTTAGTTTCAGCCAATCAGAGCAAAGCACACGTGCATGCGCATGAGATCTTGCTATTTTGACCATGTCATCTTGTCTATGCTACTAATATATCCTTATATTATGAGTTTCAAAACATTTCATCTAAAATTTAAAAAGTTACAGCAATATTCATTATATTGGTCATTTCACATGTTGCACGTGCATGCTCTTGCAAGCACGTGCGCGCAAAATGACCTTCGTTCTGCAAATCTACATAACATGCCTACTGACCCTAAACATAGGTAATCAGAGATTACAGAGCTCACCTCAACGAATGTTGTCTTTAAGTAAGGCAAAGTCACACAATTAACCAACAAAAAGTATACATTCCAAAAATGAAAATATTTTTAAAAGCAATTTTGATCTGATACTTTGAAATAGACCTACATAAAAAATTTAAACTACTTCTTCTTCATGAAAATGTAATGAAAATCCAGCATCTGAAGCAAATTTGAGAGTTTTCATCTCTTGATGCAGCATTTGTGCAAGTTTGGTTTATACAATGTTATATAAGCCTTATAGTTTTTGGTAATAGACCTGCAACCATAACTTTTACCTTGTCTATTATCTGAAAAATGTATGTCCAATTCAGCATCCGAAGCAAGTCCATTAGTGTGCATCCTTAGATGTATCATCCATGCAAGTTTGCTCATTATAGGGCTCATAGTTTATTGGAAATGAAACATGCATCAAAACTAACATTTTCACTCATCCACAAAAAGTAGGTCAGATTCAGCATCCGAAGCAAGCCTGGAAGTATGCATCCTTAGATGTATCATCTATGCAAGACTGGTCATTAAAGAACTCTTAGTTCCTTGGAAATGAAACCTGCACCAAAAACTTTTAACTATTCACTCAACCGGAAAATGTAGGTCAGATTCAGCATCCGAAGCAAGCCTGGTAGTGTGCATCCTTAGATGTATCATCCATGCAAGTTTGGTCAACATAGGCCTTATAGTTACTTTGAAATGAAACCTGCACCAAAAACTTTAACTTGTTCACTCAACTGGAAAATGTAGGTCAGATTCAGCATCCGAAGCAAGCCTGGTAGTATGCATCCTTAGATGTATCATCCATGCAAGTTTGGTCAACATAGGGCTTATAGTTACTTGGAAATGAAACCTGCACCAAAAACTTTAACCTGTTCACTTATTTGGAAAATGTAGGTCAGATTCAGCATCCGAAGCAAGCCCGGTAGTATGCATCCTTAGATGTATCATCCATGCAAGTTTGGTCAACATAGGGCTTATAGTTACTTGGAAATGAAACCTGCACCAAAAACTTTAACCTGTTCACTCAACCGGAAAATGTAGGTCAGATTCAGCATCCGAAGCAAGCCCAGTAGTATGCATCCTTAGATGTATCATCCATGCAAGTTTGGTCAACATAGGGCTTATAATTACTTGGAAATGAAACCTGCACCGAAAACTTTAACCTGTTCACTCAACCAGAAAATGTAGGTCAGATTCAGCATCCGAAGCAAGCCCGGTAGTATGCATCCTTAGATGTATCATCCATGCAAGTTTGGTCAACATAGGGCTTATAGTTACTTGGAAATGAAACCTACACCGAAAACTTTAACCTGTTCACTCAACCGGAAAATGTAAGTCAGATTCAGCATCCGAAGCAAGCCCAGTAGTATGCATCCTTAGATGTATCATCCATGCAAGTTTGGTCAACATAGGGCTTATAGTTACTTGGAAATGAAACCCACACCAAAAACTGCACCAAAAATGTTAACCTGCTCCAAAAACATTAACCTGGTAATTCCTTTGCTGAAATTGCAGCATCTGAAACTTTGTCTGGTACAATAAAACACACTAAAACCATCTTCCATGCATGTCTAATCAGTATAGGACACAGAAGTACTTAAAAAGAAAACTGCTCCAAAAAACTTAACCTTAACCTGGGACGCCGACGCCGACACCGACGCCGATGCCGAGGGTATCACATAAGCTCCCCCCAACTTCGTTGAGGTGAGCTAAAAAGGTTTCACCTTAGTCGGATGTGTAGTTTACAAGATCATTCGCGGAAAAGATTTTCCCAGGAAGAAGAAAAATAATAATAATAATAAGAAACAGAGTAAAAACAATATGTTCCCCAACTTCGTTTGGGGAACATAGTAAAAGTGATTAATAATATAACCTACTGGTAATAATAGACAAGATAATGTAACATATGATATCATTATAATAGACAAGACTTTGGAATATGCAGCATTTGGATTAGACAAGTTTTATTATATATTTAATAATAAGAGCATGTGAGGAAAGGCAGCAATGTTATGAACAGTGAATTAACAGTAGCAGATATTAGAGAAGCATGACTTAATTTACTTACTGTGCCAAGACCTAAATGTTGCTGGAAACACATGCCAAACAGAATGTCAAAAGGTCTCATTTACTTTTCCTATACATTTTTTTAAGTATGCACACTAGATATTTTTTCAGGGTTTGTATTCAGTGGAATATAATGTGTACATGATGAATGAATAGTCATCTAGACTGATGATAGGCAGCATGGATAAACCTTTTCTGTGCTGAACTGAGAGGAATGAGCACAATATTTTAAAAGTGGTGAATTCTCTTATTTCAGCAATCTGACTGAGAACAGTGCAAGCTGTACTTCACACTTTATAAAGATTTTATAAAGGACTTCTATTAAAAAGAGAATTTTCAATCTTTTCAACAAAACTGACAGATGTCATTTCTACATTTTGTTCTACAAGCAATTTTGTTGATGAAAAGAAGGCCTTAATTAGTCAAACTCACTTGTCTGAATGTATCCTGGTGAATCTCTTGGTGTCGTGTGTCGTAATATTGCTCTATAAATCCAAAGTACTCATGGCGCTTTCGCTGCAGAGTAGGCTCCCTTCTATCCAAACTGGCAGGGAGATAACCCTGAAAACCAAAATCTCATCCCCAATATCTGATCATTTCTCTATATATATATGTGTCAAAATGTTAATAGGTAACTAGTTAAAAAAAGATGCCATTAATTTTTCACTAAATTTCAATTATCTCCCCTTGGAATGGGGTGTGGACCTTCATTGGAAAAAATTTGAATCCGCTTTACCCAAGGATACTTTGTGGAAAGTTTGGTTGAAATTGGTCCATTGGTTCTTGAGAAGAAGTTGAAAATGTGGAAAGTTTACAGACCGACAGACAGACGGATGCTAAACAAAATGTGATTAGAAAAGCTCATTTCAGCCTTCATCTTAGGTGAGCTAAATAAAAGCAATGGCATGCAATATTTCTTCAAAGTTTTGATTTTCTACAAAAAAAATCAGCTTTCTCAAATCTCCATTTCCTAGTGGGTTTTAATTAGTACCTATGTCAATGGCAGAGCATTTTATAGTTTACAGTCAATTTAATTTGAAGAAGGATGTACACATACTTACAGATAAAATTTTCCAGGCAGTTGCTCGTACAGGTTTTGGTATTCCAGACCAGCTAAGTTTCCTTAGTTCATCTAGAAGTAAGAAATGAATTAATTACAATTCTTTCTTGAAACTAACTGCAAACACAGAAGCAAATGCATACTATAATTTGGAAACTGAGGTACAGCATAATCCTTTAACAAATGATGAGGCTTAAATTCCCCAAAATTGTTGCCAAATTTCCCAAAACCAATTAGAAAATCAAAGCTGCGGCATTGGTAATTAATTTTCCACTTCTTATATAATAAGCAGTGCTACATGACTTTACAGGCCTATAGAAATGGTTTAAAAGTTGGCGGGGGAACCCAAAATAAAACAAAAGAGTCCATACTGAACAGCCCTATTTTTGAGGGTGTTAATGTTGGGAAGGGGGGCATTTCTTCTTTTTGGGTACATTTATTTTCAAATCCTAGCATTTGCCATTGTTCATAAACCTTGTGTTAACACATTTCATAGGAGGTTCTTTCCTGCATTCTTTCCATTAAACAGCACTTTTTAATTGAGGATGCTGATGGCACTACCTGGGTCAAATCGTGTTATCTCAAACTCGATGGGACCAAGGATATCTGATGATTCAAAATATCGAAGGTAAAATACTAATTTAATGAATAAGTGGTTGAGACTTCCATATCACTTCATCATATCCATGGTATTCGAGATATCTGTGTTCGAGATACCGAAGTTCAACTGTATTTCATTACAGGTTAGATTAAACAATCTTAGGATACTTCTATATGAATATGACTAATCATCATTAGATATGCTGTTCTTAAAGAAAAGATTCTGTGAAGATTTTTAAAAAACTTTCATAGTGTCCCCACCACATTCTGGTAATTGAATTATTAACTACTCAAATCTACCCTGCATCAAGAAGCTTTCATACAAGTTTTTTTTTTTCTGGCTAAGTGGTTCTAGAGAAGATTTTAAACGACCCCACCCTTTTTTCACCCATTCTAATTTATGTACCCTTGGAAGAGTGTGCGACCCTTCAATTAAACAAACTTGAATCCCCTTTACCCATGATAATCTATGTCAAAATTTGATTGTAACTGGTCCATTGGTTCAGGAGAAGAAGATGAAAATATTAAAAGTTTACGAGAATTTCAATGGCAGTGGCGACAAGGATAGATAACAGATAAAGTTATTTTCTCTTTATTAATTTCAAACACCTAAATATTAAATATGAGAAAAAAATCTTGCCCACAAGGCAATGTAATCTGAAATGCATACTGTAGACGTATTTTTTTCCACGGGGTTATAATTCTGCGGAATCTCAATTTCTGTTTAATCCGCGGGTAGAAAATTACGCGGATTTCTTAGACTGTCACTAATGCCTAACGGAAAATTTGTGACCGCGTACATAGCGTAAATTTAAACCACGCGGAAAAAAGTACTTCTACAGTATTTAAATAATTTACTTTTATTTAGTAATGATTTGAAAGTTTGAGAGATCACGTGACACCCACCGAGATGGACGCCTAAAAATTCTGTCCGGTGTTTTGGTCTGTTTTTGGTGCCAAATTGTTGGGATTTTGATTCCGTTTACCTGAATTTTGGATAGCATATGTTAGTGAGTGTCTGGATATATTTTGTATTATTTTCTGTGAATTTTATACCCCGAAAATGCAAAGAAGAGGGAGATCAAATAATACAAAGAAAGTGTCTGATAAGAGTTCACTTAAGGGGACAGACAACGCAGTCAATACGAGCTCACAACAAAGCGAAGGCCTTCCCGAGTCGGTCCCGTTAGATAGTGAAAAGGGCAGTGTAGATAGATCACGGTCTGTGAATAAGAACAAAACTGACGATCTAGACACTGAAGAACACAGCCTAAATGCTCAACTTAAGTATGTCTGCGAACAAGCAGAATGTAATTATGATGAAATTTCTACACTGAGGTCGGAAAACGCCTACTTGCGTAGGGAGGTAGAGCTGCTGCGATCAGTGGTTATTAGGATTGACAGAAAAATGTCTGTGATGGACAATGAAATCACTGATTTGCGAGCTAGGTCTATGCGTGACAATATTTTAATACATAACTATCCATATTCCCATAATGAAGACCTTGCTTCTACTATGCCAGAAATTATTAAGCAAACACTAGGGGTAGACGTTAAATTCGTTAGAATTCACAGAAATGGAGTTCGTCCCCAGCACTCTGATCGGCCAGTGTCTATTACGGCCAAGCTGGTTGACGGTAAGAAAAAAGATGAAATTCTCAGCGCCCAGAAAATAAAAAAAATAGCGAGGGTTAAGTTGCCGTTTTACATCACCCCTCAACAACCTCTGTCCATCGTTTCTGCCAGGAATAAACTTTTTGACAAATCAGATTCTTTCAAAAAACAGAACATTACTGTTAAAATGTCAAAAAACAGCCTCACTTTACCAAATGGCGATAAATATAGCGAGGAAGTTCCGCTGCTCACCAATGCAGACGTTTTACAAATTGAAACGTCTGAAACACAGAAATTGGATGACATTGCTACAAAAAGCGTAGATCCTGTACAAAAAAATGGATCCGAATTTTTTGCCATTGGATCTGAGGTAGACTCGGCGGAAAGTGTCCAAAACTTCTACAAGAAGGCCTGCATTGACCCCTATGTCGCCAGTGTTGACAGCAGAATCTTAGTTTACAGATTCCGTGAAAACGAAAAAGTGACTGAAAACTATCATGATGATGGTGAACATGGAGCGGGGCGACGCCTCCTTAAATTTATGCAAGACAATCAAATTATCAATGCGGCTTTCGTAGTGACGAGATGGATGGGAGAGCATATTGGACCCGAGCGCTTTACCATCATGGAGAACCTCCTGAATGATGTTGCAAATCTACTGTAGGAATGAGATAAAAAATGTGAGACTGAATTAAAGTGTGACTTGGGACTTTCTCTGATTCGTAACATGGACTATTCTGTTTTCTTTGGCTCATTTTTTTTTATTGACTATTGCGGAAATAAGAATGCCACTGTACGGTTCTGAATTTCATTTCTGTACATTGCCGGAATTCGAAATTTTATTCCGATAAATTTAAACTTTAGCTTTAGGGTGGCATTTCCGATGTAGATAATTTTGTTTGTTGAGGTCACCATTACATTGACCATGCACCTTTAGATCTCTATAATTCAACCCAATGCACTTCTGTCATTTCTCTTTTCTTTCTCTCTTTTCTTTACTTTCCTCTTTCCTCATTGCATTTAAGCACGATATGAGAGCTGCGTCTTACAGAAAAGGAAAAACCAAGGTAACATTTTTGCAGTTTTTCTCGCCTGTTAAATTTAAAATCTTATGTCAGAGTTAAAGATAATATCCGCAAATTGTCAGGGCCTTCATGATTTTAAAAAAAGAAAAGATGTTTTACAATACTACAGACAATTGAAGTGTAATGTACTATGTTTACAAGATACTCATTTTACTACAGATATGGAGGAAGAAATAAGAAATGAATGGGGATATGATGTATATTTTAATTCCTTTTCGTCTAAGTCCAGAGGTGTAGCAATATTTTTAAATAATAATTTTGAATATAAAGTTCACAACAATGTGAATGATAACTCTGGTAATTTTTTAGCACTTGATATTAGCCTTGGGGATGTACGTACAAGTCTTATTGCAATTTATGGTCCAAATGACGATGATCCTGGGTTTTATAATATGGTTTCAGAATCAATAGATAATTTGAACAATGACCATGTTATTCTCGTAGGGGACTTTAATTTAGTTATAAACCCAGATAAGGACTATCATAACTATCTTCATACTAATAATCCGAAAGCAAGAGAAAGACTATTAGAAGTTATTTCTGTCCAAAATTTGTCAGATGTATTCAGAGAAATTCACCCAGAAAAACAAAGATATACATGGCGCAAGCCTCATCCATTTAAACAAGCAAGGTTAGATTTTTTTCTGATATCAAACTCATTGTTGAGTATGATAAAAGAGACTGATACTTTATCAAGTTACAAATCTGATCATTCTCCTATATACCTCAATCTAAAACTGAGTAATTTTACTCATGGAAAGGGATTATGGAAATTTAATAACTCATTGTTGCATGATTCTGAATTTATTAAAACCATTAACAAGACTATAATGCAGATAAAAGAAATTTATGCTTTACCGGTGTACAGTAAAGAATATATATTGTCTAATGCTGAAATACAATTTACAATTAATGATCAACTTTTCCTTGAAACTCTTCTAATGGAAATAAGAGGGAAAACAATATCTTATTCTAGTTTTATTAAAAAAAGGAATAATGAAAAAGAAAAAGAAATTATATCTGATATTGATAAATTAGAAGAAAACTATGAGCAAAACATAATGTTTATTAATGATAAAAAGAAAGAGCTGGAGAATATAAGAAATCATAGATTAATGGGAAACCTAGTGAGATCAAGAGCTAAATGGACAGATGAAGGAGAGAAACCTACAAACTACTTTTTGAATTTAGAAAACAGACATTATACAAATAAAATAATTCCTAAATTAATTAAAGATGAAGAGACTCAGGAAGAAATAACAAATCAAAGTGAAATTTTAAAAGAAATAGAAAGTTTCTATAAGAATCTTTACAAAGCTAATGATGAAAGTGGGGACTATGATTTAAATGAAATTTTATCAGACACAGACATTAAAAAGTTGAATGATATTCAAAGAGTTTCATTAGAAGGGGAACTCTCTTACACCGAAGCAACATCTGTTCTAAGGAATATGTCAAATAATAAAAGCCCTGGCAGCGATGGCTTTACTACAGAATTTTATAAAGTTTTTTGGAATAAAATTGGACATTTTGTGGTTAGGTCCTTAAATTTTGGATATAGCATGGGTGAATTTTCGGTAACACAGAAACAAGGTATTATCACCTGTATTCCAAAGGAGGGTAAAAGTAAATTTTTCTTGAAAAATTGGAGACCAATAACACTTTTAAATGTAGCTTATAAAATAGGTTCTGGATGTATTGCTCAAAGAATAAAAACTGTTCTTGATACAATAATTAGTTCTGATCAAACAGGCTTTATACCGGGTAGATATATTGGTGAGAATACAAGATTAATATATGATTTAATGCAATACACAGAGGAACATGACATCCCTGGCGTTTTACTGTTGATCGATTTTGAGAAAGCATTTGATACAGTGTCTTGGAAATTCATACATAAATGTCTAGACTTTTTTAATTTTGGTCCATCTATTCATTCATGGATATATACTTTTCAAAGCAATATAGAATCATCTGTTACACAAGCAGGACACCTCTCAGATTTTTTTAAACCTAGCCGAGGCTGTCGCCAAGGTGACCCAATTTCTTCGTATTTGTTTTTACTATGTGCAGAGTTTCTTGCTCTCAAAATAAAAAATAACAAAAATATAAAAGGTATTGAAATTAATGAAATAGAATATTTAATGTCTCAGTATGCTGATGATACTGCAGTAATACTGGATGGGTCTGAAAAATCCCTGAGAGCCACTATTGAGGAATTGAATCATTTTAACACACTCTCTGGGCTAAAAATCAATCTATCAAAAACACAATTAGTTTGGATAGGTAGCAAGAAATACTCAAATGAAAAATTATGTAATGAAATGAATTTTCATTGGACAACCAGCTTTAAAATATTAGGCATTCATTTTGATGTTGACCTGACAAATATTCCCAAACTTAATTATGACAAAAAGCTGGTAAAAATCAAAAGTATTATTACCCAGTGGAACAAAAGGCATACCACTCCTATTGGCAGGGTTACGCTGATAAAATCTTTACTTATCTCACAAATGAACCATCTTTTTATCTCTCTACCAACACCGTCAAGCAAATTCATAAAAGATTTGAACAGTATTTTGTTTAATTTCCTGTGGAAATCTAAGGTGGATAAAATTAAAAGAAAACAAATTACTCAAGACTATCCAAATGGAGGCCTAAAAATGATTGAAATTAATAACTATATCAAAGGTCTGAAATCATCATGGATTAAAAGATTACTGTTCAGTCAAAATTCAAAATGGAAAACTTTATTAAATGAAACTGTCAATTTTGACAAAATGTTCAAAACTGGATCAGATTACATTAATGATATTTTGCACCTTATAAGAAATCCTTTTTGGAAAGATACATTGATTGCTTTTCGAGATATTCAAGATAAAATGAAGATAAAATCATGGCAAGAATTTATAGCTCAACCAATATGGTTTAATAAAAAAATTAAAATTGGAAAAAAGTCCATTTTCTATATTGAATGGTATAATAAGAATATTATATATATTAACGATTTGCTTGATGAGAATGGAGCATTTTTGAGTTTACAAGATCTCCAGAATAAGTTCAACATTAAAACTAATTTTCTTACATACTTTAGTATACAAAATTCTATTACAACCAGTCTAAAAAGTGAGGATATTGTCAAAGAAAACAATAACCCTAGACCAATTATACCATTTTACATAAGATTATTTTGTTCATCCAAAAAAGGTACCAAAAATATGTATGACACACTAAATACAGAAGAAAATGTCACATCTTTTTACAAATCAAAATGGGGAAAATATTTCACTCTATCTAAGTTACAATGGAAAGCAATTTTTCAGTTACCTTTTATCAGTACTAAAAGTACAAAACTACAATGGTTACAATATAGAATTAACCATCAAATCTTAACCACTAATGTATTCATGTTTAAAGTGGGGATGAAAGATAGTAAAATGTGTAATTTCTGTAATTCAGCTGAAGAAACAATTTATCATATACTGTGGGAATGTCCCCTTGTTCAAGATCTCATCAATCTATTTTTTGAATTTTGTCAAACAAGGGATATTGTTATTCCAAGAGATCCTTGCTCTTTTATTTTGGGATTAGATCTTGACTCAAGTTGTAAGAATCTGTACCAGATATTCCTAATTCTCAAATCCTACATATACAAAAAGCGGTGTCTTAATGAAAAATTATCAATCCATGGACTACTTATAGATATCAAAACTCATCTTTCAACTTTGAAGTACATAGCTACCAAAAATTGTAATCTTGAAGATTTTCATAAAGATTGGGAAATTTGGCTTTTCATACTTAGAAGGCTCTGACTATTTTGCTCGATTTTTAGAATCACCAACAGTGATCAAATAAATGTTTATATAGACAAGGTTTTTTTCCTAATTTGTTAATAAGCAGCTTCTCTTCCCTTTCTCTTCCCTTTCTCTCTTTTCTCTTCTTTCCCCTCAGTCAGCAATCATAAGATTTATCCTTATTGTACTGTATATGCTGTTATAAAATAATTGCTGATTTGGACATGGACCATATGTACATTTCATCAGAAAGATATTAACGTTACAGTCCCCTTCGAGGCATGCGAGGTGCATGGCAGTCATAGTATAAACACAATTAACTACTCAAATCCTTAAAAAAGTAGGTATCAGGACTGAAATGCAATAAAATTTAATCATGGCCGCTGTCGATTTTAACCATGGCACAGCTCGTTTAACCATGGCGCACATAAATTTAACCATGGCGGGCCGCCATGGTAATACCCCTTGTGGAGAACCCTGGTATATTCATTGAAGGAATAGTTTTTACTCTAACCTTTGACAGATGAAGTTTGTTGGTTTTGAGCACTAAGCTGCTTGCTATGATTCTCCATGACAGCTTGTGCTGTGGATCGTACATCACGTAGTGACATCTGAATGTTTGCCATAACAAGCAGATCATCGTCTCCGTCATCCCAAGCATCCGATGTGTTGTTCTCAAAGTCTTGGAAGGCATCCCTCTTGTTACTCGTTTTTGAACGTTCCTCTTTTCTGGAGCATGTAGAGTATAATAAATTAAAATCTGAGGTTGAGAAGATCACTGTAAACTTCAAATAATTGATGAAAACTGTTAATAATTGATTTATTTTAATAAATGGTTCTCTATTTCCAGGCATGGAATCAGAATTTTTTCCGGGGGGGGGGGGGGGGGGGGGGGGTGTTCCACCCCAGTTAAAAAAAAATTTCCAACCCAGAAATTTCTTGACAAAAAAAAACCAACAAACAAAGATAAAACAACCCCCCCCCCCTCATTTCCCAAACATGATAAACCTATTCTGGGTGGGTTGTTGGTGGTTGGGGTTCATTGACATTTCAAACTTCAAACCAGGACTTTTCATACCAATTTCACATACATCTGTGTTCTCAAGGAGGGGTCTGCATTTTTTTTTGGGGGGGGGGGGGGGCAAGGTCACTTCTACTTAGTTTAGAATATACACTTAATAACTCTGCAAATTCAAGGGGGGGGGGGGGGGTCCTGACACCCCACCCCCACCCCCCTCTAGACCTGCGCATGATTACCAGTTATCTTACATGTATGCACTTTTAACTTAAAGCTTATGTTATACAGGCTAGTCTGTAGTAAACCCTGTAGAGTAATGACTAAGAGGTACATGTACCATGGACAATAAGTGATGAATTACAGAAAAATGCATGGATGGCACAGAGCCACAGACTGTCATATATTAAAGGTACATTGGAACACTCACATACTATATCTTCAATTAAAAGTCATAAAGATTTCCAATTTAATGCTTATTGATTTTAAATTGTGTGCAAGAAATATCCCTGAGCTTCATGACCCACTTACACTTGTGGATTTTAATAACTGTGAAGCATTAACTTTGCTTTGTATTTTTCAGTACTGAAAACTGAATTTGAAAATTTGATTGATTTCAAACTGATGAAATGCAAATTAAAGATGATGCAAATATTAACTGGTTTACAGTATTCTAAGTAGTCTTGTGTAATAAATATTTTGAACCATGTATCCAGTGTCTGAGGTTTCAAAAAATTCCAACCATAGATGATTTTCAAAATAGGGCTATTGGATATTATTATTGGGGATCACCTCTTTGTTCAGTAACTGTACTTCATTGACTGTTTATGGATACCTAGATGCATAACTGAAGCTCTCCAAAAAAAATATTGACAGTCCGGAGAGCTACAGTGCCACCCATTGAAAAACTGTATATTTATTGCGCACACAAAAGTGTGCCATTTCTCGATTTATTTCTCCATGTTGGTCAAGCTGTCCCATCAATATTACTAACCGTGTGATCCCAACATCTACTAACCGTGTGATCCCAACATCTACTAACCGTGTGATCCCAACATCTACTAACCGTGTGATCCCAACATCTACTAACCGTGTGATCCCAACATCTACTAACCGTGTGATCCCAACATCCACTAACCGTGTGATCCCAACATCTACTAACCGTGTGATCCCAACATCTACTAACCGTGTGATCCCAACATCTACTAACCGTGTGATCCAAACATCTACTAACCGTGTGATCCCAACATCTACTATCTACTAACCGTGTGATCCCAACATCTACTAACCGTGTGATCCCAACATCTACTAACCGTGTGATCCCAACATCTACTAACCGTGTGATCCCAACATCTACTATCTACTAACCGTGTGATCCCAACATCTACTAACCGTGTGATCCCAACATCTACTAACCGTGTGATCCCAACATCTACTAACCGTGTGATCCCAACATCTACTAACCGTGTGATCCCAACATCTACTAACCGTGTGATCCCAACATCTACTAACCGTGTGATCCCAACATCTACTAACCGTGTGATCCCAACATCTTTCTTTACTGTTTCCACAACAAAACATTCCTTATAATTAGGGATGTCAACAAATATTCATTCGATGAGTTGATATTCGAATACAAATTTGTGATTCGAATACCGTATAATCCCTATTAACCGCCCCGGGCGCTTAGAAAATTGCAAAAAGGGGGCGGTTATTTTGGTGTTTACTTTATGATAATTATAATGTCATATTTTAACTTCATAAAATCGTTTGAATATAAAAATAAATATAAGAAACATCTAAGATAATGTCTAACTTTACTTAAAGTGAAGATAATCTACCCAAATTATGGTTAATTGTTCATTTTCCACTGAGAAATTGGATATTAAACAAATTTCATTTTCACTTTCTTCACTTTTTTGATACGATTCTAGTTGATTTAAATCACGTACAGGGGGCCCTTATTACCTGACAATTGAAAAAGACCTTAGGGGGCGCTTATAGGGGTAGGGGCGGTTAATAGGGATTATACGGTATTCGGTTTTTGAGTATAAACATTTAATAGAGATAAAAATCTGACAAGTTTTATTTGAAATTGAATGAAGTTTGTACAGTTGAAATGAATAAGATTTGATTTAAATAAAAATTAATAGACAGTCCTGTTGGATTACTTTAAAAGTGTGAAGAATGTAATTATTAGAATATATTTTTCTTTGATCATTTAATAAGTGGTATAACAGTACCAATAACCTACAATCAGTTTGTATTGTTGTAAGGGCACAGTTTTCCAGAAAACACATGGATCCCTTGTTTATGTATATATCATTTAAAATAATTATCGGGAAATTATTTCACTAAAATTAATTGATTTTAATTGGTCTTCAGTAGATCATTGTTTGAAGTGGTATAAATTGGAGTAAGTAGTGTAGACTTTGGTAAGACGATCAGTTAATCTGGAACATACTAAAGAAGCTTTTGAATTTTCAAAAAAAAATGTTCATTACATTTTAGATGTATACTCTTCATATACTCTGTAAAATTTTAAAAATATAATTAGTTTGCATTTACAATACTCTACGTAAAATTTTATTCCAAAATAATGACATACAACATATACTGGCTGACAGGAGAGTTAAAATATATACTTTATAATGCAAAATGTATTTATTTTATCGAATATTCGCATATATTCGAATACTCCTATCGAATATTCGAATATCAGTTATTGACAATTTTGACATCCCTACTTATAATTGTTGTTAATAGCCCTCCTGGCCCTGAATATGAGATCATCGAAATTTTCGCCTATTTATACTGCCATTTTGGTTTGCAAGATAATTCTGTCCAACACACTTTGTACAGATGTCAACTACGAGAGTACTTTATAAAAAACTAAGGAATTTGTTGAAATTTAGCTTTTTTACAATTGAGCAAAGAATTTGGAAAAATTAATCCATAACCAAGTGCAATTTTTTGTGTGCAATAAATATAGTTTTTTTCAATGGGTGGCACTGTAGCTCTCTGGTCTGTCAATACAGAAAGTTCTTGAAATCTTTTTCTCAATGTCAGTCATTTGGACTGACTGCCATGTGAAGTTTGTCAGTCCAGACAGATTTCTACCAGTCCAAAGAAAATTCAATAAAAAGATGAAAATTTTATTTACATTTTATTATCACTATATTGTGCACCCTTTGTCAATAAACACTGCACACTTCATTCTGATTTGATCGTCATTTTCTTTGAATCATCTCGGGGTCGTTTTCTTCATAGGTTTTTAATCTAGTTCGATTTTCTCACCTGGCTTACCGGAGCACCGTCAACAAACCTGTTTTAACAGTTTACCAATCATAGTTTGACACTTGCATTCATCGAAGAAGCCATAACAAAACGCAGGAAAGCGTTTGAAAGATTACGATCGGACGGTTATTGGGAATTCATACGAAATTCAGTTGGATTTTCGCAAGTTCCTCTGTCAACACTTACCGGTCATTTGGACTGACATAAACGCAGAGTAATCAGTCCTTGGTTGTTTTTAACGGTCTTGCCAACCAGACCGAAAGATTTCAAGAGCTCAGCAATATATTTTTTCCAGAGATCTTCAGTTCTGCAGCTAATGGATACCCAGTCAACAGCGACATTGACTAAGTGTAAGCAGATATTAAAACACAAGAGGCCCAGGGGCCACAGCGCTCACCTGAGCACATCGGGCTTGAATTTACCCCCCCCCCCCAGGCATTCATCATCAAACTAGAACCTACACTACCTGAGGATGATTCCGTATAAATATCACTAATCATAGCTTTGAAGTACTTGAAAAGAAGATTTTAAAAGGTTTCCCTATATATCCCTTTGTAAAACTTGGGTCGGCCATTTTGGCCCCACCCTAGCCCCGGGGGTCATGATTTGAACAAACTTGAATCTACATTAGCTGAGGATGATTCCACATGAGTTTCATCTTTCCTGGCCCAGTGGTTCTGGAGAAGAAGATTTTTAAAGATTTTTCCTATATATTCCTATGTAAAACTTGGGTCGGCCATTTTGGCCCCACCCTAGCCCCGGGGGTCATGATTTGAACAAACTTGAATCTACACTACCTGAGAATGATTCCACATGAGTTTCATCTTTCCTGGCCAAGTGGTTCATTAGAAGAAGATTTTTAAAGATTTTTCCTATATATTCCTATGTAAAACTTGGGTCGGCCATTTTGGCCCCACCCTTGCCCCGGGGGTCATGATTTGAAAAAATTTGAATTAACACTACCTGAAGATGATTCCACATGAGTTTCATCTTTCCTGGCCCAGTGGTTCATTAGAAGAAGATTTTTAAAGATTTTTCCTATATATCCCTTTGTAAAACTTGGGTCGGCCATTTTGGCCCCACCCTAGCCCCGGGGGTCATGATTTGAACAAACTTGAATCTACATTAGCTGAGGATGATTCCACATGAGTTTCATCTTTCCTGGCCCAGTGGTTCTGGAGAAGAAGATTTTTAAAGATTTTTCCTATATATTCCTATGTAAAACTTGGGTCGGCCATTTTGGCCCCACCCTAGCCCCGGGGGTCATGATTTGAACAAATTTGAATCTACACTACCTGAGGATGATTCCACATGAGTTTCATCTTTCCTGGCCAAGTGGTTCATTAGAAGAAGATTTTTAAAGATTTTTCCTATATATTCCTATGTAAAACTTGGGTCGGCCATTTTGGCCCCACCCTTGCCCTGGGGGTCATGATTTGAAAAAATTTGAATTAACACTACCTGAAGATGATTCCACATGAGTTTCATCTTTCCTGGCCCCGTGGTTCATTAGAAGAAGATTTTTAAAGATTTTTCCTATATATTCCTATGTAAAACTTGGGTCGGCCATTTTGGCCCCACCCTTGCCCCGGGGGTCATGATTTGAACAAACTTGAATCTACACTACCTTAGGATGATTCCACATGAGTTTCATCTTTCCTGGCCAAGTGGTTCATTAGAAGAAGATTTTTAAAGATTTTTCCTATATATTCCTATGTAAAACTTGGGTCGGCCATTTTGGCCCCACCCTTGCCCCGGGGGTCATGATTTGAACAAACTTGAATCTACACTACCTGAGGATGATTCCACATGAGTTTCATCTTTCCTGGCCAAGTGGTTCATTAGAAGAAGATTTTTAAAGATTTTTCCTATATATTCCTATATTCCTTTTGGCCCCATGTAAAACTTGGGTTGGCCATTTGCCCCGGGGGTCATGATTTGAACAAACTTGAATCTACATTACCTGAGGATGATTCCACATGAGTTTCATCTTTCCTGGCCCCGTGGTTCATTAGAAGAAGATTTTTAAAGATTTTTCCTATATATTCCTATGTAAAACTTGGGTCGGCCATTTTGGCCCCACCCTAGCCCGGGGGGTCATGATTTGAACAAACTTGAATCTACACTACCTGAGGATGATTCCACATGAGTTTCATCTTTCCTGGCCAAGTGGTTCATTAGAAGAAGATTTTTAAAGATTTTTCCTATATATTCCTATGTAAAACTTTTTAAAGGCCAAGTGGTTCATTATGAGTTTCATCTTTCCTGATATAGAAGATTTTTAAAGATTTTTCCTATATATTCCTATGTAAAACTTGGGTCGGCCATTTTGGCCCCACCCTTGCCCCGGGGGTCATGATTTGAACAAATTTGAATTACACTACCTGAGGATGATTCCACATGAGTTTCATCTTTCCTGGCCCAGTGGTTCATTAGAAGATTTATTCCTATGTAAAACTTGGGTCGGCCATTTTGGCCCCACCCTTGCCCCGGGGGTCATGATTTGAAAAAATTTGAATTAACACTACCTGAAGATGATTCCACATGAGTTTCATCTTTCCTGGCCCCGTGGTTCATTAGAAGAAGATTTTTAAAGATTTTTCCTATATATTCCTATGTAAAACTTGGGTCGGCCATTTTGGCCCCACCCTTGCCCCGGGGGTCATGATTTGAACAAACTTGAATCTACACTACCTTAGGATGATTCCACATGAGTTTCATCTTTCCTGGCCAAGTGGTTCATTAGAAGAAGATTTTTAAAGATTTTTCCTATATATTCCTTTGTAAAATTTGGGTCGGCCATTTTGGCCCCATCCTTGCCCCAGGGGTCATGATTTGAACAAACTTGAATCTACACTACCTGAGGATGATTCCACATGAGTTTCATCTTTCCTGGCCAAGTAGTTCATTAGAAGAAGATTTTTAAAGATTTTTCCTATATATTCCTATGTAAAACTTGGGTTGGCCATTTTGGCCCCACCCTTGCCCCGGGGGTCATGATTTGAACAAACTTGAATCTACATTACCTGAGGATGATTCCACATGAGTTTCATCTTTCCTGGCCAAGTGGTTCATTAGAAGAAGATTTTTAAAGATTTTTCCTATATATTCCTATGTAAAACTTGGGTCGGCCATTTTGGCCCCACCCTTGCCCCGGGGGGTCATGATTTGAACAAACTTGAATCTACACTACCTGAGGATGATTCCACATGAGTTTCATCTTTCCTGGCCAAGTGGTTCTGGAGAAGAAGATTTTTAAAGATTTTTCCTATATATTCCAATGTAAAACTTGGGTCGGCCATTTTGGCCCCATCCTAGCCCCGGGGGTCATGATTTGAACAAACTTGAATCTACATTACCTGAGGATGATTCCACATGAGTTTCATCTTTCCTGGCCCAGTGGTTCTTGAGAAGAAGATTTTTTAAAAATGCCATTAATTTTTTTCTAATTCATAATTATCTCCCCTTGGAAAAGGGTGTGGCCCTTCATTTGAACAAACTTGAATCCCCTTTACCCAAGGATACTTTGTGCCAAGTTTGATTGAAATTGGCCCAGCGGTTCTTGAGAAGAAGTCGAAAATGTGAAAAGTTTACAGACAGACGGACAGACAGACGGATGCCGGACAAAATGTGATCAGAAAAGCTCACTTGAGCCTTCGGCTCAGGTGAGCTAATAAGCAATCAAAGATAGCGAAGCACGCCTCGGCAAATGTTATCAGTTTTAGTGATGCCAATCTTACAATATATTTTTTTATTTATTTTGCATCCCGAGATCAATATCCATAAAGTTTGGTTTAAGTAGGACTTATAGTTTCTTTGGATTGAACTTGCTCTAAAAACTTGAACCTGGTCACAAATCAAGATAATGTTTCTTGCACTTCCAACATCCAAAGCAAGTGTCCATCGATTATGCATTACATTTTTTTCAATAAGATAGAAAGAAAATATAATATTTACTATTACTTATCTTTAAAGTCGCACCCGTCTTCGTAAGAAATTGAAAAACTTAGATGCATCATCTATGTAAGTTTAATCACAACAGGCCACATTCAGTTTTGGTTCTATTCTAGGTTTTCATTTATAGGCAAAATAACTGTAAGCTTACCCCTTTGGCATCACTTGAAGGGGAGGATGTTGAGCTCCATATACTGGCTTTATGCTGCAAGACATGTGAAAATCATTTAGCCTTCTTTTAGTTCAACATATCAAAGTAGCTATAAAGTTCCATAAGTAAAACACTTTCTATAAAAGAAAAGCACATATATACGTCATAGTGGATTTTTTCTGAGGTTTTTGCTTCATATGTCGGCAGGTCTGGTACAATCACTAGATTTAGCTACTTAGCTTGATTTACTTACTTAGCTTTATTTACCTACCTGAGGTAGCTTTATTTAGCTACCAAATCAATTTATTTATATTAAAAAGCATTTTCCTCAGGATGTGCAAAAAATCTCATTTTGATGCAGTGATCATTTTCAACTTTGAATTCATCTGAAAAAAATTCATGTAAAAATCACTCTTGAAGAATTGTCTTTTTCTGCGCAATTGCAAAGTTCTGAAAGTTTTGGCACTATGTATGACAGTTAGAACAGTCACTCCTTGAATGAAATGACAAAGAAGTCCAGTTTCGGTTAACATGATAATAGGTCGGTAATAATTCAGCACAACGTAAAGTAATCATACTCAGTCATGCCTCACCGCACCCAGTTGAGAGGACAGTTAACCAAACAATGGAATTACTAGTTAGAATAATCTAACTGTGTCTCGGTACAAGCCCTCACCACAGTTAGAATACGTCCCATATACCTGTAATGTAGCAAATCGGAGCGGATCCGCTCCGAAACGATTTTGAAGAATATAAAATGATTTGCACTGGGAATAACTACCAAAATAATCAAAACAAACCTTTTTGAGATTGCTTATGCCTTTTATCCCAAAAAATAATCCATATAAATACGTAAATCCAATTAATTTTCACAACGTTTTTCTCTCAATTCG